ATCGTGTGTGCTGAAAATATACATTAGACCGGAATCGCGCTGGGGGTGGGTCGGCGGTCGGTGGGTTTTATATTAGAAATCGATTCGCCATTTCTTCTATCTGATCGAAACTTTTTTATTATGCATTATACGAATTTGAACAAACAAATAACTATCGGATGCAAGGCAATACAGAAAGTTGCCCGGTTTTTGTGTGTTTTTCCCTTCTGACACACAGAAAACATGCATATAAATTGTTTGAAATTATTTACGTTTGCTATGCATAATATAGATTTATTCGATTTTATGGTAGGCAACCAACATGACACACGTGTATCTGTATCGCTGCTACCAATATGGCGGCGCGCCAAAAAAACATGCCCGGGCACTATCGCATTATCCGGCATTACGTTTATGACTTATGATGTAAAAGCATTTTAGGTGAAGCAACAAAACAAGCGTAAAAACCGTGTTCCGCGCAGTAGGTATATGTGTGTGAGAATGGGAGGGATGTTAAGACAACGTGATTTATGCCCGGACGAAGCGCCGATGCTTTTTAATCTTTCCCTCAACGCCTCAACACTTAAAATAATGAATCTTTTATAATTCGTGTAGTTGTGCTGCTGCTGCAGGTCTGGTGTTATATTGGTTGCCTAACTATCACAACTAACGCAAATATTCATTTTAGGCAAGTAGAAAAATAATTTTTTTATTATTCAACAGCGTTAAAAGTTGCTAATACTTTTTAATTAGGAAAGTTTAGCGAGCGTCGGCGTAAAAAACTTGTTAACATTAGAGAAATTAAAGGAGCGGGATCGCGCGAAATAAAAGCAGCTGCCGGGAACAACTTTATCCAAAGGGAATATTTAAATTAATAGTGAAAAGTTTGCGTTTGGGAATATTTAAAAATTATAAGCAAATTTAATAATTTTTTTATTAAATATCAATGCGATGCCCGGCGCCTCCACCATACAGCTACCTAACCTACAAACGCGCGTTAAAATGCGGACGTTTCCAAATAGTAATAAACGCCACGCGCGCGCGCGTGCCAAGTCCTTGGCATTCCTCAACGTTTCATTATCGCATTTATTCGCACTTGGCATCAAAACATTTTCCTCATTTTGTCCGACGTTTTCGGATGGCATTTTTGGAATATAGACAATGTCAACGTAGTGAAATTAAATTTCGCCGAGGAATGTTTTTTTTCGGTTTGGTGGAAAATAGGTATATGTGATGTTTATCACAATGAAGCTGTTGTGAGATAAAGTGCTGCTGATAATACACCCTGTAGGATTTTGTAACATGCGCATACATTTCGCGTCACAGTTGGAACAAGATTCGCGCTTTAGATTGCGCGCGCTGGGAGTTTTACACGTCGGCGTGTTTTTGCCGGAAGGCGGAAAACGGCCGCAAGTACGGTCAGGACGCAAGTTGTAAAATGCAAATTAATGACGACATTAAAGCGCGCGCGGCGCGTCTCTATTCGGGCGGTTTTTACGCGTCGGATCGAAAACGCAGTCGAGCGATTTTACTTTCCGCGCGCGTCTTTTTGTCCTTTCTTGTCTGTGTGTTACCGCAGAGAGACAGCGCCGAGTCCTTGTTAAATGCAAATGGTGTAAATGTTTAATGCTATTCACATACAATGTGTTTAAATTGAAAAAAATTCAAAAGAAAAGAAAAAAATGTGGATTTTAAAAGAAAAGTTCATGTTGATTGCGCGTTGAAATTTTATTGAGATGACGATGATGATAACGAAATAAACAAAACATAAGAATAGAGATCTCGCTGAAAACATCTTTCTGCGCATCGTCTCGTCCCGCGAGATGAGAGCTGCATGCAAAAGAGCAAACAGTGCGCAGCGCCGAAGACGTAAAATGCATAAAGCGCAAATGAAATTAAAGTGCTTTCGCGCGCGCCGTGCAGCGCGCTCCTCGCTTGTTTCTTATTTGCCTTAGATTTGCGCTGTGTTTTATTCTTTGCGAGAACTCCATCTCTCGCAAACTCGCGAATGCAGGCGAAGTGCACAAGCACTCGGAGATGACGATGCAAATATATAGATATATCTCGAGCTGTGTGCGGATTTGTTTATGAGCTACGTGTGTTTTTTGCACAACGCGCTTTGTTCGCGAGAGTTTATAATTAAATTAAGTCGCACGCGAGGGCGATAAAAGGACTCGCGTAGTTTTTACTTTTATTCGCGTTGTTAAAACAACACCAAACCAATTTTTTAAATTTATGCTAAGAGTTAAGTTGTCGTTTCTCTATAATTAAGCTATAAATAAAATGTGAGTTAATAGTTTATTAAGCATTATTTGCGCTAAGTGATACTTTAGTCACGTCTTTGGTCGTCTATGATTAAATTACCAATTTTTGTGTCTCGAAACCGTGGAAAACTGGTATTTTAGAGCTGGATGTAGAAAAAAATACATATATCTTCAAAAAAGTTATATCAAGCTCCGCCTCGTGGCTAAAATCCGTGACTAAAGTACTTTAATGTTTAAAAAGCCGTTTTTGTGCCTCGAAACTGGCTTTAAAGGTGGAAGTAGACACATTTTTATATTTAACTCACTGTATATTTTATGTCAGTGTAGTAACAATAGAGTGAAGTTGGTTTTCATTTTCGACGTGGCTGGTTTTCAGGTTGGCGGAGGCGCGCGGGGGTTCTGCGGTCGCTATTTTAATAGAAGCACGAGAGCGTGGCGAAACAACGTGCGCCCGTTCTCACCCTTATTATTGCGTCCTGCGCGCTTCATTGCGCCCGGCTGGGAAAACTGTCATGTGCTTTCCACGCCTTGAATTTAAGATTCGCAAATAGTGATGAAGTTTGAATCGAATTAAACATTCACGCTAGGCAACCAACACTACACACATTCACACTTATGATGATACCTATTGGTTGTTGGTTGTGTTTACGCGCTTGTTGCGCGTAATATTTATTGGTACTTGACTCTTCGAAGTCATTCATTAGGCAAGTTATGACGTTTTTGTCCTCGGCGCGCGCGCGCAGCGAAATTTATCGCTTTCAGTAGCTGAAAATTGCACACGGCAAATACAAAGACGGGTCATAAATATTTATCTTATACTCGCGTCGCGCGCGCCGTCGCAGAGGGAATGCGTAATGCGAGTAATGCGCATCGAACCTCGGCGAACCTGTTGTGTTGATATTTGCACCAAGTCGCCGAGTGCATAATTAAATGTGCGGCGACGCGTTCTGTAATTGTTTGTGTGTTTTTGTCGGCCCGACACGAATACCTCTGAATATTTATGCCACCAAATATACACTAATTTCATATATAGGCAACCACACTAGCAAATATCGAATTATGATAATTAAGCGGAATTTCTTTTTCGAAAAGGTTACGTTTTTAAATTGGCCGCGATGTTTTAGATAAGTGCCGTGTGCGCGCACGAATAGAAAATAACATCTATTAAGCGGTATTATAAATGCCGTTTGTGCGGCCATTCCCTCATGCACTCCGCCGGTAATGGCCAGCGTTTAACTGCAATTTTATGCAATTTCGTTCGGCGTGGGTGGAGAGAAAAAAAAAACAACGTATGCAAATGCGCGCGCGGCGTGATAAGATTTGTTGCTTAATGAACTCGTGTATTATATAAGTAGGCAACTCAATATACACGGTATACTTATATTGCCGGGGAAATAAAATTAAATTGAAATTCGACTCGGTGGAAATCTCGAATGTGAATGTGCATGCGAATCTCTCGACGGACGCTGCGCATCGATGTCGTCCTTGTTAACTCGTTGACGTACTAAAGTGGACGCGCGCGCCTTCGAGCGAGATTCCGAATTCGAGCGCGCGCGCAAATAAAGTAAATGGACGCGCACGAGCACACGCGATATCGGAGAGAGATTGGAAAAATTGATGAAATGTCTTTGAAAAATCTCCCGAGCGCACATTTTTGCTTCGGATATCATTTAAAATCTCCGCGTGGTTTTATTTCGCATAGAATTCGTTGTTTTTTGCAGCTCCACCTAGCGGATAAAATGACAACTAGCCGTTTCCGTGAGTGATGCCTTCCGGTGCAATATTCGCGTTCGAAATTTATGTCGCCGGGCGGAAAAATAATCGGAAAATGCAACGACGAGTATTCTCTTTCTCTCTCGGCGCCCGGGGAAGAGAGCGAGCTTTAAGTGGTGCCGGCAGTGTTCTATTTTTCCATTTGGTTCGTGCTTTTTTCATCGTCGCCGCCACCCGCCCGCCATTCCTTCCGTCAATTGCCTTTTCCTCACATTTTCGCATTTACGACAATGATAAGCCTGATACTTGAACCTCGAACCGGAACGACCACGGCGAATCCCGAATCCGGCGTCGCCCGTCGACTTTGATGATGAGACGACTCTGACGCCGGCACACAAAGCGCCCCGCGTCGTACGCGCGCGCCTAGATTGAAACGAAGATGGATAATGTTTTCCTACTTTCGCCATTGTACCAGCCCCCTGCGAGCGAGACGTAATTCGGGATAATGATACGGACGTTTGTTTTTATCTTTTTATGGAAAACTTTTTGCGCACGCGAGGCATTTCGAGATAAAAGCCTTGAAAATCGTAAATTTGAGCTTTGGTTATGCAACCCAATCTACACAATGTGTGTGTGTGTTGAGAGAAAATGGCCGCTGTGGTTCTTGCACAACATGCGATTTGTTGCCACGTCGCGCGATGCACACGTAAAGCGCATTCGATACGTTTATTTACTTCGCGTCTACTTTTCGAGCGAATGCGAATAATGCCGGCTCTCGCCCGGCCGGCAATAACTAAAGGTTATAACAAGACGTGAGTTAGAATACTGATAGAACGAAACGTGCCGTGCGCGCGTACAGAAAACTGGTCTTTGGTCTTGTTCCATGCCCTTTTTAAGTCTGGCTCGCGAAACAACATTACACACAAACCACTTATAGCCTCACATACACTCACACATACAGTGTGTCCATATTAGTTAATGAACATTTCAAGGCCGAAATCTATCTGGCAATGTATTTTAAAGTTTTGTTTTCTCTTTTTGCAGACGCGCACACCTGCGGCACTGCCTGGATGATCTCAAGGTGATAGTGCCCTTGGGACCCGAAGCATCCAAACATACTACCTTAGGTCTCCTCACGAAAGCACGCCGATTCATAAAGGTAAGATGCGAGAATTCTCTCATCTCTAAGCTTAGCAACTTTATTCCTGGTACAATTCACGCAATTTGCGAACTTGCAACTCTGTCGAGTTCGGGAGAGTTATCAAACTTACATTTGCTCGCCGGGATAATGGGAGCGTAATTTCATCACGTGCACGTCACCGTCACAATTCCAAGTTTCTAATGTCTAACATTTGTGCACGTAAAAACTTGTCACTTGCGGATGAAATGCGCGTAATTCCGATTCGCCCGGTTATCATCCAAGATGGCCGACAAGCCGAGGCCGGAAGACGAATGGCGGTAATTCGGCGCATCACCGCTAATTTGTGATTTATGGCGTTTTCAATTAGGGATACGTTCATTTTTTATCATCACTCTGCGCTTTGTCATCTCGCCGGTTTTTTTTGTGTGTGTTTTTGTTTGTTGCGTTCGGAGAAATTCGGCGCAAGATAAATAGACATCATTTATTTATACGGGCGGGGCGCATTCCGCCGCCACTTGAAGTGATAAAAAGTTACTGTCCATTTTCGTCGTCTACGCTTCTTTCTTCCTTAATATGCCACAACTCATCCCATTGCCATTTATTTCCTAGTTTTCAGATTGACTCAAAGTTGCGAGTGAAACTTTTTTCGGTCAATGTCAACCTTTTTCCTCTCGCTAGTTTTCGCCGTTGATTATTTTCCCTAGTAGCGTAGTATGTTCAATGTTTAAAGAAGAACAAAAAACGCACGCGTTTTTATTGCTTAGCGCGAGAGCATAACCAGCGAATAAAAAAATAATCCTCGATCCGCGTCGCGCGGAGATGCCTTTTGCGAGGAAATCCGACGGACATGAATAATTCAACGAACCGGCTCCGGAAAATAGCAAAACGGACCCGAAACCGAAACACTAGAGCGCTCTTTAAAACCGACGTCCCTTTTACGGTTATTATTATTATTTAATTCCGGGCCCGTTCGATTCGCTTTTAATTAATACCACAGCGATATAACATAGGCAACCAATATTGCAATATAAATAGCAGTAAAGTTAAATGATTTCTAAACAATTTGCTACTCTTATGAATTTGTTTTCGCAGTCGTAAATTTTGATTTACCGTATCATCGTAAATTTGAAAGTTAACCTATAAAATTGAGTGTGTACTAACACACTGTATGCATACGATGTTTGGGGATGTTATATTATGCGTCGAACTATTTATTATTTTTTATCGCCTTGGCAAGCGAACGGCGCGCATAAATTCCAATATGCGTTATGCATGCGCTCGCCGGCCATAATGGCCATAAGCCATAACGTACGTACTCGTAGATCAAGCGCTAAGAGTTACTGCCAGTAATGGTAAATAGCGTAATGTGCATTGTGCAATGTGCGCGTACGTTATCCGCACGATTTCAGCATGTTTATAATTTTCGCGAAATTAAAATGTTGCATTTATCGTTTGTGTAATCAGTTAATCCCGAGATGAAAGACGCTCGCGCGCTGAGTTGCTTTGAAAATTGTAAGGTTTTACACGCTGGAGTGCAACTACATCTTATTACGTCTTGTAGACCGCGGCGCGCAATGAGATAAGATGATTAGTGGGTTGCTGGTAATGCGGCGCAGCGCTGCGGAGCGGAATAAATACATTGAATTAAGCTGAACAATGCAGGCAACCAAGAATACACCAAAACAACCAAACACGCCATAATTCGATGAGGCGTAAACGTAAACGTAAGTTAATCAAAGACATCAAAGATACATCAGATATGCAACCAAATACACACTAGTTTTATCATTTCCGAAACTTTTCGTGAACAAAGAAAAAATTTCCTCAAAGTTTATAACCCGTCGCTTTATCAGCAGAGTTGCTCCCTTGGGATATTCCAGACCATCCCAATGAAACATAATCAACCCTCTTATTTCCATTCCGGGCCCCGGCCGGCTTCAGTCATCATTCACTGACGCGCACTATTATCATTCGTCGTTCGCCATTATGCGCGATAACCGCACATAGCCTCTGTGTTCGAGACTATTAACACACCCCGCACTAGCTCCTCATTCTGTGTCTACATATCTCACATTCACTTGGCTAGTATAATAGTTTCCGTGAAAATCGAAGACCCTTTGGGTCTCCCGGACCGATGTCTGCGTTTTGTAACTGCTGTCGTCCTATCACTGCTTCGCTAGTTTCATTTCGGACGATTCGAAGGATTCTAGGACATCGTGTCCAATATATCTTTAACAGAAGACTTCCTACAGCTGCACAACGCTTGTAGTGCTTCAACCCTTACATTTCTATCCGCAGACGGAATAAGCGCTGGATAATAGACTTATAAATCACGTGATTTACTTCACAGAAGCGGTTATAGATGGCGCTAGTTGTATTTGGATAGGCGAGGTTATTCTATGTATCGGATGGCTTGATATTGATGCGAATTGAATTTCAGTTGTTATTACATGATCATTATAACACATGGGTATTATATCCGGTTTCCTTTTGCGCAGGAGTAACCCAATAATAGCATGGTTGTGATATTTATACAGAGTGTTTAGGTTTTAGGTAAAAAAAAATTAAAAATTAATGAAAACACATTGTATATGTTTTATATTTTTATTTTTTGAGGTTAGATGTATTTGTGGGTTGTAGATGTATGGTTATACAGTGTGTTTGTGAGTTGGTGAGGATTTTAATCAAACCGATTGGAATTTTGTTGTATATGTCTTCTCTGCGGTCAGCTTATTGAAACGTCGCGTCGCTTTGGGTCTTCGCCGGCGCAACAAGGGGGCACACTGGGGGCCTTGGTGCACGAGCGTGCTTTGTGCGCGCTTTTGCGGTGCGATCGCATCCGATCGCCCCGGCGCGCATTACAATGGAAGCGCGCCGGCGACCCGACGATAATCGATTTCAATGAATCATGTGAATCGAATCGGCCAAATGAGCACGACACCGCTCGCGGTGGGGTGGTGCGATGGGTTTGGGTGTGATGTGGCGGCGCGCATTGTTCGAGACAATCGAATGGAAAATTGCGATTTATTATCATCGCCGCAGATCACTGTTTTACAAACACTATCCGTTGGTTGTTGCGATAGAGGGCGTTGTTGGTGTAGCCGATATTGATTGACAACATAACCTCGTGTTTGTGCTGCTTGCTTGTTTTCCTGCATGTTAAGGACTCGGTTTAATGCGCCGTCGTGCTTCTTCGGCGGCTTTGTGCGTGCAAGCGCGCGACACGATCTTCGTGTTTGCGTTGTTGCCTTCCGCTGCCGCCGCCGCCGCTAATACGCGCGTGCATTATACGATCCGCCACCTCTGTCGAGCAGTTTGCTTAAATCCGACATAAATTGAAGTAATCTCTGCATAAATTTCCGGTTAATCTAACAACAAGCAAGCGGGCCCCGCCGCCGCCGAACACGAGCCAATGAATCGCGCGCTTTTACTTTAATATGACAGCGCTGTATTGAGGTTATCTCTTCCAACTTCTTGTCACTTGATTAATTTCCGGTGTGTGCGCGTTTTTTTTGGTGTTTTTAATCAAACGAAATTACGTCCAGCTTTAAGGTGCTACTAAAATAAATTACCTGCAATAAACAAAGTTCACTTTAACTTGCGCCGCGTCTGGGGGCTTCTTATTGGCGGCGGCATGGCAGAGGTCGGGAGACGATGCGATCGTTTTACTTCTGCTTCACCCGCACCTATACACACACACGCTGAGGGTGTGTGTTGACAAATAGCTTTTCTTCTCGCTTTCCGATGCGAGAAGAACTACTCGGGGTGTTGCGACAAATGACGTCAGGATCCATCTCTCGCAACCTGCACGCAGACGACCGACTGCTTTTTGTTGCTGTGTGTTATTTGTTTGACTTTTTACCCTTCTCGACTTTCTACTTTTCCTACTATTTCAAGAGAAACTATCTGAGACGATTTTTTTTTGCTTGGTTCTGATGCTGTGTGTGTCGGTGTACACACATCTGTTTTTACGTACATTACTGATCTCTGCGATGGATATACGGCGGTCCGGGATAAATCGTCCGGAATGACATAACTGCCCTGTTGAGAGCAGTTTGTCTTTGGAAAAATTGCTGTTTTCGTTTAAGTTTTATGAAGTTTCGAATTTAAGACCGCGCCCGCTTTTTCGGTTTCCGTTCTGTGCTACGTCTGTGTTTTTCTTTTTGTTGACATGCGGACGACATGAGTACACAAACAACTCACACACAATTTTATTACTACTCGTAAGAAACGTCATAAAAGCATAAAAAATAACATAATACTAGTATATTACAGGTTTTATAAGCATTAATATATGCAACCAAATATACACACTAATTGTATAGCTTTATTCTAGTCTACTGCGAGTTTATTCTGTTTGGTTTTTATTTTTTCTAAACTCAGGGTGACAAATAAGCGAACGACAAACAAGACGAACACGCTCGGCGGCGGCGGCGCCGGCACGAACAAGATAAACTGACGAACTCGAGCGTGCACACACGCTGGCTGCCGCGTTTTCGAGAAAAGTTGGCCGATTACGCGAACGAGACACGCCGAACAAATGTACGTCCACACAAACACACATATATATACAGAGAGAAGTACTGGCGATGCGCCACTGCAGAAACGTCCGCGGATGCGGAAATAATGCTTCCGGTTCGTGCGCCGGTGCTCTTATTTTCTTCCTTAATGCATTGCATCTCTTGGACAAACATCATCTCCACCAGCCGTCTGAAATTCATCGTTTGGTTATGAATTTATAACCTAATTTATTACCTCCTGCCACTTGTATTTTTTCCGGGGGGCTTAATTTTTGGTTGTTCTTCTCATCAACGATGTACACGGACGTCGCTTTGACTTGGGTCTTTAATCAGTCATCTTTCGGCGAAGAAGGTCTTAACGCCGTCATAAACGCTGATGAAAATACATTAGGGCCTTCATTTTCGTAATTAGATTTCATTTGTCGACGTTACGCATCGCACATAAGACCTTTTGCTTGGTGGTTGGTTTTTGTTTCGTGGGTCAACTCAACTCCAACACACTCACATTTACATTGATTAATTTTTTTTTTTGTGCGCTGCTGTTGGTTGAGGTTATATAAGAAGATGTGGATTGTGTTGTTGTGTGGCGTAACCGCAACCGAAATTGCACAGAGCGACTTTTTCCCTGCAGCCGCAACCCGCAGATCAAAGAAGATACTCAACCGAATTACTATCGCTCCGCTTGGCGCCGCGGTACTTACTTTGGTCGTTGAGCAGGCCCGTAATTTTCAGTTCCGCGCAGTTGGAGTTTTCGAAACGAAGACCCTCGCTGCCGCCCGCAGGCTGAAACGAGGACCAAATCGCTTTCCTTCCGCTTCCGCGCTGTATTTCTCTCGCTCTCTTCATCTCTTTTAATTCCTGCGAGCGTATTTTTTTAAGCCCTGCATTATTTATTTATTTAAGAAGAGTTAATTGAGTTTCGCTCCGGAGTTTAATACCAGTGATATACTATATATGTTTTTTGTTGCTTTGTTGCAGAGTTTAGAAGATAGAGATAAGAGGAAGGCGCTGATAAAGGAGACGCTCAGCAGGGAGCAGCGGTACCTGCGGCGGAAACTGGACGCGCTCGCGAAGAGTCAGGGCTGCTCGCCGACGACGGCGGCGGCGGCGCTGGCGGCGTCCAAGCGGCGCTCCGTGTCCGAGTGTTCGTCGTCGACGATATCGAGCAGCCACTCGTCGTCGACGACGTCGTCGCACTCGTCGGCGCCATCGCCGATCTCGGAGACAGGTGAGTCCGGCTACTCGTCATCACCACTTCCTAGCCCAACACTGCTCGCGGCGCGCCACCCGCCACCACCTCCGCCCGGCGACGATCACGCCTATCACAGGCACACGGCGGACGTGTTCGATTACGATGCACCTGGTACGTACACACACTCATCCTGCTACAAACAACGACAACTGCAAAATTTTACCAAAAAGTGTGCTGGAATCGTTTTTATTTTTTTTGATTTCTTTCTCCTGTGTTTTGGTTTTTATTCTCTGTATGTTTTCGCATGATGTATATTTTACGATTTTACGAGCGCGCGATGAATCCGCAACTGAATATGAATGAATTGCGGGCGCGACGCGAATCGAACCAAACGACCGGCACATAACGAAGTGGAAATGATTGAAATTACATGCTCTGCAATTTACATCGAAATTGCAAAAATCAAGCGAGCGCGCGCGCACGCGAATGAATGCACGTTTGATTGTAATTTCCACGCCGCAATCACCGAGAGAAGTATTAATTTTTCTTTTCCGAATCAAAATTGCACAAAATCACAAGCAAGAAAACTTGCAGACGTCAAATTGTCAATTACTTACATTTTCAATTTGCATACAATTATTTACCGCCCCCGGGGGCGTGCGGGCGAAAAATCGAACGGCGTTTCCAAGTGCCGCAATTGTTTTGGCACAAATGAACCTCATAAAAGGCATTTGCCCACCGAATCGACTTCGACACACACACACAGACCACCCTCTCTTAAAACAGAAGTCGCGAAATGAATGGGAACCGTAATGTTATTCGGTTATTCGATCCGACGTCCACTGCCACCAACTTTTCTTGGCAGTGGAGATGTATGCGCTGATAGTGTGCGTCTGTGTCCACGTAAACTGCGCGCGGGTGTGGCGAGCCGGCACTTCGAACAAACAACCAAACGGTGGGCGGCGGGGGGCGGCTAACACCATCGGGGAATGGTCGCGGCGACAGAGGGTGCGCTTACGAATGCCGCTGCTTATAAGCAAAACTATGCAAGCGCGCAGCCAAATCGTCCAATTTCCACAACAACCGTTGACATCGAAACCGGCTTCGAAATCGAGCTGGAAATTTTTAATATACTAAGTGTTCCCGGAACAAATAAAATTTAAAAACTTATTTACATAAAATACGTTTAGATATATTTTTAAATGTGATTTGAGATGTTTTTTGTTTATTTTAATTTTTTATATTTAAACACTCTGTATATGGAGTTGGAGGCGGCATGAAACGATTCCGAACGCGGCGAACTGTCGACAAGCAGCCACCGAGTTAAACGTTTAAAAGAGGCAACTTAAACTATTCGCAATACGCAATCAATTTGGTCGGATGCCAAATGCACACACATACACACCCACACAGCCACCCCCAATATAACCAGCGCACAAATATTTTGTCTTCGAGGCGTGACAATAATCCGATAACTAAGTGCGCATCGTAAAACATTCAAATTCAACATTCCGAAACAAAACAATTCACTTTTACTACATTACATTCTTCTATTGCTCCAACCTAACCTCAATTTTGTTCTCCCCGGGCTGCTGGTGGTTGTTGTTGTGTATTTTTTGTGCAGTAAAAAATACGAAAAGGGATTGCTGCGCCAGCATGTGGCAACGACATAAAATTTTACATTAGAAAGGGCAGGAAGCGCGCGTCGCGCACCAGATATTAGAGAGCCCGAGATGATACGGCGCGGAATAATACCCACCGGCGGGGGCGGCGGCGGCGGTGGTAGTTTCGCCTCGAAGCTTAGTGCACACGAAATTCTCGCAAAATTGCGACGCGCATAGCCCATTTGTTTGCAAAGTGGGCTTTATTGCGCAACTCTCGGCGCGAGACAACCGACAACCACCCACCGGCAGCCACCTCGAAATGCCGAAAATTTCGCTTAATTATATCCCCGAGGTCGAGGTTAACTTAAACCCTTAAAAATAAATTTTTATTTAGATTTATTTTTTTGTGTTTGTTGGGTATAATATATGCAACCAGTCTTACAATATTGTAATTAGGGTTGCCTATATACTTACGGATCTAAATTGAAATGAACATGACATTCGTGGTTGATTGCCGGTCGGGGGGCGTTTAACCCTCAGCAGCACACGACGAAAAACGCTTGCGGAATAAAGTTTTAAGGGGGCAATTAAATTCGTGAAACTTTTCTTATCAATGTTTATGAAATTACGAGTACATGAGAGTTTAACAACTCGCGCGCGCGCTCGCCTTCTTGTGTTCCGGGGTTTTCATCCCTTACGTGTGTGTGTGTGTGTAGGGAACCTGAACGTGACTTGCCAACTTTCCGGCCCCGGCTAAAAGCTCACCGTTTTGAGTTTGAACGCCAACTATTTAGCATGAGCATGAACACGCTTTAACTTTCCTTAACGAAGTACAGGGAAAAAATATTTGTTACACGCGATGCTTTCGGGGTTGTGTTTTGTTTCCCTCACACGATATAGGAATATAGAAACACGCCTTGTGTTGTGTTTATGTTTGTGCATTGTCATTAGTACGTTTGGTTAAGATTATTTTCGTTTTTTGTGTTGTTTTTGGTAAATTTTGCCATCGTCTGATTGTGTAAACATGGAATAATAAAGCGAGCGCGGCGATAAAGTGTTGCGCGATGATAAAACAAAACGTTTGCCGCTAAACGACGCGACCGAATTTAAGTGCTCTCGTCTTCGCGCGCCGTAAAAGCGCGATGCATAAACAAAGGCGAAGGCGCTGATAAATGATTGTCTCTTGCGTTCCGAAACACATTACGGCCTAGTTGCCCTCGGTTCATTTCTACAATGTCCTGGGAATTTTTTTCGTATTTTTGGGCGTGGTTAGAGGCATTATTATCTGTATTAATATAAAAAATGTTTGTTTGTTTCGCTTTCACGAGGAAACCACTCAACCAATCATCATGAAATGTTGTATACATATTTTCAAGGATATTGAGAAGAACATAGGATACTTTTTATTAAAAAATATTAATAGTTTTAACGTAGTTAAGAAAAACAAAAACATGATAGTTATTTTAAATATTATTTTTTAAACTCTGAAATAGAAACTAAGAGTTAATTTGAAGGTTATGCGCACTTTTTTGTCAAAATTTTAATTTTTGATATTTTAAGTAATGATAGTGATTGTTATCATTACATTACTTCCTGGCGGCTCACATTAGCCGCTGATTTATTCGCATTACGAGATTGCGTTCTCGCTGCCCTTGCTCCACAAAACGAAATTGGCAGCGGGCTTTTGGGACCGCCGAAAATGTCTGGTAATCAACGCACGTACAAGCTCCTGCGCGCTCCTTTCCATCGGACCCAGGCGCCGGTGCGGTATTAGCTCCAATGTGATGTAATGTACTATAGACCTTCTGCTACCTCCTGCCTCACTCCCGCGAGTATTCAATTCATTATTTTAAACTTTTGTCGTCGTCGGACTCTCCGGCACCGAGTGTCCCCATCATTCACAACAACATAAGTTTGGTTATGTGTATGTGCTTTATTCCGGAAGTGTTGTATATTTTGTATAGGAAAAGGGTTTCCTTGCGCGCGGTTTGATTTATTAATTGAGTTCGTGTTGTTCTAATCTTCATCGTGCGGACGTGCGCGCGCGTTTAAAATTTTACGACATTCCGAAACTCGGTCCTTTGTCAAATAAAAAGCGGCTCTGCGGGCTGTGGCGCAGGACCGCAACCCTTTTTGCGAGAGCACGCGGCACGGTTCAGTGAATTAGTCATTTTTGCTTTTTGTATTTCAATTAGGACGACGGCAATTACGTCGTTTTAATTCAATTTGATGATTAATTCATTTTCGGGCATCGTATTTACATTTCGCATAAAAAATATGAAATTTTTTCATAACAAGAAATAATTTCTTACACGTAAATGAATATCAATCTCCTTTGTCGTCTTTTTTGTTCATAGAAGTAAGTTTATTTGTTCGGGGTGTAATCCAGCTCGTGTCTCGTCTACTTCCGGTATTTTTAATGTTTACCTCCCGGAGACTTCCACTGCTGTTAATCCCCGCTAAACTTAGCGCGCTGGAAATGTTAACGCAAACAACACGACAGAGTCCCGGAGTTAGTTCGATCCGTGGTGTTCGGTAAGAAGTGGAGCTGATGATGGATCAGTTTATGTTCGCCGTACGCGCGCGCGCGCCTCCCGGACGGATGACATAACCAAACATGCGAGCGATAAACTTAATCTAAAAGCGTCACTCGCCGCCGTCTAATTACTTCGGGACTTAATCATTAATCTTGGAAAATGAACCCGGCGCGCAAGAAAATGCGCGAAAAGCGGAAGCGGCACTAAACTGAGTGTTTACAAGATGGCGCCGCACAATGGGCGGCCATTTTGTCAACAAATTATTTACGTTGCATTGTTAAATCATCATTATTTACACTAGTTTATGAGAAATCGATTTTTCGTATTTGGCGAAAAACATTTGCAGCGCGAGAAAAAGCTCATCTCGAGCAAAAACGCAGCCGAGCGCCGCGATTACGAATTTATGGAATTTTCCTCGGGCGATATCTTCTCGGCGGTCATAAATCAAAATTTTATATGGAATTTTTATTCACTTTATAGTGAACCGCCCCACCTCAACGTATACGCAGCGCACTCGAGGTGGAATTTTCATCCAGCAGGCGTTAAAAACGTTTAAAGTAGTAAAAAAGTCGAAAAAATTACGAAATTTTATCATTTTAAGGTTATGACGCAGCAGTGACAGCTACGCGCGCATTGGTCCGAGCGAAGACGAAGACTATCAACATTAATAATTTGATTTAATTTAATAGCGCCGCAATTTGGTTCTCTGCGGCAACTATTCGAATGTATAACCGCATAATCTTTTATTAGCCGCCATCAAATCGTCCATCAAACGCGCGGGGATAAACTTTATTACCTTATTACTTGATTGCCAGTGTGACATACAATGTGACTTAGTTGGAAAGTAAATTATTCTTGCATTTTATTGAAAATTACAAGTTTTATGCGAAAAAAATCGTTAATTTTAGTTTTGTAGGATAGGCAACTTTGTTTGCATGTTTAATAAAGTTAATTTCGTTGCCTAGTGTGTCATTCTGTGTGCGAGTTTGTTACTTTTGACTGTAAACCGGAACAAATTTGCTTTTACGACTGTCACTTCCGTCTTCTTTGAATTATCCGCATACAGTGTGTCTGTGTGCAACCAATGCGCACGCGTCGCTCGTAAACCTCGCGCGGAATATAGAGATAAGCCTCGAACGCGTGACCGGCGCGAAATTTACGGAATTCCCGATGCCCACGGCGTGATTTATCGAGGTTATGTGCATGCACGCTCGCGCAAGAAGTGTAATTTATTAATGAGATTCCGGCCGAGATGGTCAGCTAATCCACCCATCGCACACGGGTAGATCATATTTTTCCCCATGTATTTTGGGTTGCCTATATCGATGAACTATAAATAAAAGTAATATTGAAATGGTGGCGGTTATTTTTTTGTTGGTGCGAAACGGGTGCAAAAAACCGTTTGCACAGCGCGCTGCTCCCCGGGGGTGTGAAAATCTATACTTGATAGATGTGTTTCGGGGGCGGCTGTGTGTGTGTGTGCGTGTGTATCATGCGCGCGGAGCGATATGTAGAGAGGTGTGTGTAGGTGAAGGGAGTCGTCCCTTTTCGGCAGAGCAAATATTTGTCGGTAGTTAACGGTGTTTGCGTTTCACGCATGATGTAACAACATCGAATCATCGGACCTGTGCGAAGCGGGCGGAATCGATGGCGCGTCTTCGCGCTTGAATATACACATTTCGCTCGCCAACACCTCGCGCAAACACAGACCTGTGGAAGCACATAACCTCCACAATGCACTCGTAGCAGACGCAGACGCAGCGCTAACCTCAATTGTGTGCTTGGTTTGCGCCAAGTGCAAATTGAAGAGCTTCTTCTCCCGCTTCGGAGGGAAATCTTAGTGGAATTGAATACATTTTCTAGATTGATTACTATACTTTGCACATTTTTAAAGCAGAAAATTAATATTTATTAGTTTCAAGTTGCCGGAGTAATTTGATTAATGTTTAATTCAAATTTCAAAGGGTTTACATTGTATGATCCTGGCCATTTTGTTGTGTTTGTGTTTTGTGCGCTGCTTTTTGTTTATTTATGCGTGAGTGTTCTGTTTGTCGTGTTGCCTACTCATCCGCACACTGCTGTCGTATCAATTCGCGGCAGCCGAAGGGAAAAACGACGCAGAAAAGGGAAAAAATGCGCGTGTTGTTTCCCTTTCATTATTTGTCCGCGTTCGTTTCATCCGCTTTGTACGCGGGACGCGTGTGCGGGCTTGCAAACACCGTCATCATCACCGCATCGTCACACCGTCGTCGTCGGTCCGTCCCCGTTTCATTTGGTTCGGCCATTTTTTTCACTCGATGCGTCCGGGTAGTTTTGCCCCAAATGCCGGAATAGTTTGCTGACGACGGACATTTTCTCGGCGAACGCGTTTCCCGCGCCCTGCCTCTCTCGCTCGGGGGCTGTTTGCGCGTTAAGTTAACATCGCCCGGGCGCGCAAAGCCATCCCGAAGGAAACTCGCCGCTCGCATTGAAAAGAAGCGCGACGCTGGCGAGCGTAAAGTGAATGGACCTTTTTTTTTCTTCGCTGCCGCCGCCGCCTTTCTCTCCCTTAACTGTAAATTTATGAGGAACGATAAAAGAGTCCGCGTCATCGTTTCCTCAATAAGTTCCTTTGATCTGGCATTCATTCGTACGTTCGACAACTTTGTCGGCCGCCACCGAATGCATTTGTTTGCCTCGCTCATTGCTGCAGCACCACACTGGCGGTTGGAAACGAATCAACAACTTTTGTTCTCACGGTCACTTCGCGTGGATTTCGCCGGGCGTGTATGGTGGCAGGTTTCTACACACTCGGTGGATGCATTGTTTACCTCTACGTCGATTTCGTTGTACGTTGTATATTTTAAACATATTTCCCCTTTTTGCCAGGGCGCAATTTTTCTCCGAAACGCGTTTCCTTTCAGTGCGTTTTTCTCGCTCGCTAGTTTCCCTCGCCGAGCGCACCTTTGTGCCCGCGCCGGGGCTATAAATAAAACCCGAGGCCGGGCAGGAAAGGCGGAAGTAAAAAATGAAAAGCAAAGAGGAAAAAAGAAGAAGAAATAGGTACGCGCGCGCGCCGCCCCGGCTGGCTGGTTGTGTGTGCCTCACGACCGGAAACCCGAGGAAGGGAATTTTTCGATTTATTTACTACATTTTTCCATTTGCAATTCATAAAGTTTCGCCCGCCAGAAAATATAAATCTAAACTCGGGGTTTCCATTCGGGGGTATCCCTTCTGGTATCCCTTGGATTCCCGCAAACGTCGAACGTGTAATTTCCATAAAATTGCGCCTTCGTTACGACTTAATATAGCCGCGCGGGCGCCAACTGATTGAAAATTGAATGTTTCAGCCGTAATTACAATGCGCGCCGCCATTTTAATTAAGTTCAATTCATATTTTGGCGGCGCGCGCGCGATTGATAAAAGTGTAAAAGTCTAATCTACAAGCGCGATATAACTCGAATCGAATGCGAAATTGCTAATTATGAATCGATTTCTCTCTCTGTGTGTGCGTATGCGTGATTAGTCGGAATTGTCCAATCAGATATCAGCATGCTCTGATTTTCATTTGCTGCGTTTGTAATCGTCTCTGAGGCGCACCGGCGTACATTCCTGTTGATTAATAGCGAGACAATGCGACGTTAATTAACGTTCTAGTCCTACAGGCACGTACGTGTGTATTGTCAGCAAATTCCACCTTAAATTGGGTACAATAGCAACGCACAACATCACCCATACAGAATTTACTTGTGTGTTTTTGACTATAGGCAACCAAAATGACACGAATTTATAACTTACTGTAACTATAGTTGTATCAATGGTGTGTTTGAATATAGGCAACCAAAATTACACAAATTTGCAACTTGCTGTATTTGGTTATTGATGGTTATGTTTTTTTTTTCTGCTTGCAGATGAGGTGGACGTGATCGGTTATACGAGCACGCAGAGCGACACCGACGACCACTCGAGCGTGCAATCGGCATCGAGCGACAGCGGCGTGACGATGTCCACCAGCCGCCTGACGCTCTCGGAGATCCGAGACGTCTACATGTAGACGCGGCGGTGCATGGTGGACAAGCCTGCGGTGGCGGCGTAGCCGCCGTCCGGCTACACAAGCAAACGCAGGCGAACGTCGATGCGATGTGCGATCATACGCGACCAGAGCCAGTCCTCTAGTCAACGAAAAATTTATTAAAACATTGCAAACAAAACCGACACACACCTACACACAACTCCCACACATAAACACACGAAACACACTCGGTTACAAGAAATGAATTAAAGTAAAAAGTAAAAAACCAAACAGAAACTAAAAATCGAAATTCTTGGCATTAAAATGAGAAAAGAAACAAAAATATTATTATTATATTAATTATTATCTATGATTATTAATGTATATTGTAAATACAAGTAAATTAATTATTTCCAAATTATGAGGAAGGTACGGAGAGCGCGAGAGCGGCTGAGGAAGAGTATGAGATATATATTAGAATAGTCTAACGATAAAAAAAAGTCGACAGTCAAACTGTCGCCATCTTGTCTTATTAGATAAAGGGAAATCTTTAAAAAAATACAAATTGCCGTTCAAATAATGGGGTGAAACCAAACATAACCAAAAAAAAAAATTAATAAAAAAATAATAAAAACGCACTCAACGAAATTCCGTTCAAAAAAACCACACGCAAGCATTGCAAATGTTTGCTCTCTGATTGGTGTATGTATTGTACTAGTAAATGAATATTTCATGCGAACACGATTGAATTTTTCTGGAAAAAAATATTGTCCCGCAATCAGTTGAAAATTGTAATCATCCACACACACTTACACACATACCCCACACACACACAAATGTAACAAAAACAAAAAAACTGCGAAAACTGCAAAAAAAATCAAAGCAAAAGATGGATGAAAATTTCTTCGTATTCTATATTAGTTTAAATTAATTATATATATAGTTTTATGTTAAATTAATTAAAACCCCCAGCGCCCCCCGCAAATCAAGAGGAACAAAATATTTAATACCTTTAAATATTATATTTTATCTATTATATTAATTGCCGTGACGGGAAGTAAATTTTAAATTTTAAAACAAAAAGAAATTGATTGCGCATGCGCGGTAGGGATGCGCGAGCCACCCCGCCATCTACATGGCTACAAAACAAACAGATCTCCGGCTCGTTTGCGTCCCCGCCGCTGCACACACACACGTATCTAATTGTTTTGTTGTTGATGTTGATGATGTTGAAAATTATGATTTTTACGCAAAACACTGAAATACACACCTTGAGCTATACTAAATTAAGAACTGTGCGGGTCGCAACATCCCCGCCCGCACGCAAAGAGTACAAATTCTTTATAAAATAAAGTAAAAGCATACAAACAAACAAAAAAGTAACAAAATAATAATCGCGAGAAGACACAGGAGAAATAATAACACGCGCATGGGGTTCCCGCCGGCTTGATAAGGCGGGAACCTCGGCCAATTTATATTTTTTGACGCGGGCACCGGACGCGCGCCGGACACACATGATTCTCTCATATATAGTTTGTAAAACACGACGCGCCGCCGATTGTCTCTTTTGGCGGCGTGCTGCGTTGTGTTTTGTGTTTTTGGATTTGTAAACAAAAGCGAAACCGGAAAAATGAATCCGCGCTGCGCCGTTCGTCGTCCCAGCGAGAACTGAGCCTCTAAAAAGTATGGTGTGAGTGCGTGTGCGTGTTTCGAGAGCTTGACAGGTGATTGCACGGGTACTGATAATAATATAAAATATAAAATAACCACCGACACACACACACGAAATATTCAAATGGAACGTGCGCGCGGTAGCGAAACGAATGAAACACAAAAAAAATTCACAAACGAAACAAAAACCAAAAAAATGCATAAAATAAATAAATGAAAAACACTGACACACACACACATTAAGTATAATATTACAAAAAGCATTAATAATAATTACAATACTATGCAATTAATTGAATTGAATGCGTTGGATGGCGTTTTCGATGATGTTGATGCTGCACGTTTGTTGCCGTGGGGTCCAATGAGGGAATTATTTTTGTACGACGGCGAGAGAAGTTTCTGCGGTGGTCAGGAGATGAAAAACCAACGCCAGGCGGGCAGCGCGATGCGCGATATTACAAAATGGCGGCTCGAAAACGCCGACGCATCCATTTACAAAATACAATACAAGTACATAGATTATAAACGATTACAAAATACAAAACGAGTAAAAAAAATCCAAAAAAATCTTAATTATTAAATAAATATATATTGAAACAAAAACGTGGAAGGTAAACAATGAAGAAATGGAGAATAAAGAAAAAAATAACCACAAAAATACAAAAAAAGTTTCTATAAATGTCTGCTTCTCTTAGTCTACAGTTTGCAAATGATGATAAATCAATAGGATTTTTTCTGTGTTCTAACCTTAACGATTATAAATTAAATAAATTACATTACAAGTACAATAAACGGTGGGCAACCAACAATACATGGCGGGCGACACACACTCATTCAACTCTTTGTCTTATCAACGTCTCGTAGCAAGCAACACTCTCGTATGTATTCGGATTTGATCGGCGATGAGAGAGGTTGAGTTTTTTCGGATTCACCTACACACAATTTTGAGCGCTTTGTTTTTGTGTTGTTGTTGAGGAGTGTAAAAAAAGTAATTAATGTGTATATATTAAAGCAAATACTAAGCAAATTGATTATTGAAAAATAAGCGATTGACTACTGACTGAATTTACGAAAGAATTTAAAAATACACACCACCACCATTGCGACACTTGAAGAGAGTGGAGAGCGATGGAATTATAAAAAAGGGGGCTGCTTCGGAAACACTTGTCCACTTGTTTGATGTGCGTGTATGTTGAAATTTCTAGCTGAAAGGGAGGGGAAATGTTTGTTCACGGTTTACGAGTAATGACAATGTCTAGATATGTTGTAAGGTTAGGATCATCAAAGAAATCCAGCGCAATCAAAGAGTTATTCATTAATTACTTGAAAAGCAAGAATTGTATAAATGCAATTTTAAAATATTTGAATGACATATTTAATGTCAAATAGTATGCTGAAGAAATCATTTTTGTAACTATTTTAGTTTTTGTGTAATTGATTAATAACATAGGCTACACTTCTTACAGATGTTTGGAAAAATTGTGTTTTTTCTTAGTTATTAATAAATTACTCAAAAACTAATTGAGTTATAATAATAATTCTTTCACTAAACGATTCTGTATTAAATTTTGCATCGATTTATGTTATAAATTTGTAATTTATTAAAATTTATCCAATTAAAACAGTTTTTCTTCAAAGAATTACAAAATATTATAATTTTTCTTGATATATTTATGTTGTAAATAAAATTGTTGATGCGAAATTTAATACTGTGATTAATTGATAACTCGTGACATGATATTCAATGCGAAAATAAAAATCAAACAAAGTGGAACCAATTGCGAATCGCTTTTTCTGTTGTTTACATCGATGATTGTTTCGCAGGAAAATTCGCTTCTGTGTAATATCTATTCTCATCTCTGTGTGATGTGCTTTGATTGATTGATTCGAGATTCGTTTCTGTATTTCCGCCAAGACACGCACGGATTACAATCAAACGACAAATTGCAATTAACGGAAAATCAACGATGCTTAAAACAGGACGATGATAATCCGCCTCCTTTTCGAAATCAAATGTTTCTTGTTTTGCAAACACACGTTCCACGAGAGACCTCAACGCAAGGTGTTTGTGTTGTAATATATAAGTAATGAATCATTGATTGAAGCTAAAAATCAAAAATTAGTTGTATATTATTAAATCTATCTGATGAAAACGATGCAACAACTGACGGAGCGTGAATGTCAGTGAGTAATATTATGAATTGTGAATGTTTTCAACACGGGAAGATCGCAATATCGACCGAATCGCAAGGAACGAAACGAAAACCAAACGAATAACGCGCGTTAGTGAAACAATTGAGTGGCGAATGTCCAAAAAACCAAATGAAAATTACAACTGTGAACAAATGAAGCAAAAAATAAATGAACACAAAATGAAAGCAAACGAACGTCCTGAAGCATATCTAGTTTATAGAACCAGCACCTTCTGTCACCTGAATCAACTCTTCTTCATGATTGTATGAGATATAAATATATAAATATAATTAATTATAAATATATATATATATTATAAATATTATGAAAGAATAATAATTAATATGAATTAATTGTAAATACTATATATTGTAAACTATTCATATTGCATTGATCTTCTGTTCGATAATATATTTTTTTCGATTTCGATTAATTATTATTGATTAATTAAATAATTATGATTAATTAATGGATGCGTTCATTATGATTATTAAAAACGATTAAAAAACAAACATGATATAAATATAATGAAGATAAAAACTATTGAAATGATTATAAACTATGCCATCTTTTAATTTTCTACCTTCACATAGCGATTTAAAGAAGATTTGTATTTACTCAAATTGTATATAATAAAAATGTAGTTTGTTGTTTGTGCACTGATGGCGCTGGCGTGCGAATTGTTGTTTCAAGGCAACGTAACATGTGCTGCACTGCTGCGCGCGTTAGTTTTCATAAAACAATTGAGAGTGCAGCATGTTTTGAGGTTAGCTGGATGCAAGGTAAGAATGGAACACACGTTTTACTTACTAATCGTAGTTAATATCCAGTTTATTAATCAATTGGACATACATTTGCATACTCCGAATGTAACATCACACATAAATTGTTAGCACCTGCCAAGGCAGATTTAACCAATACGAGTAAAACAGATTCAATTCAATTGTTTTTGTTTGTTTACTTACGCTTCAATGTTTAATAACACGTCGACTAGTAATATAGTCGACTTAGAATTCATCTAGTACTGGTATTTGCATTTGATGCAAATAATTTCGCTATAATTTAAATTTTTTCAATTGCCAATTTGTTTAAATTTGTGTTTTTTTTTGCGTCCTGCGCCAATTTGATATGCTCCTAACAAATGCACAAACTGCACTAACGCTAGCGCGATTTGCTTAAACAATTCACTTTGTATTATTGACTAGATCGATTAATTGTGGCTAAATGCAATGTTTTACATTTCACATTTACGTTACACGAGTGGTTGTGTGCGTGTAAAAATATTGGAATCTAAACAATTTGCAAGATATGCAACCAAAACATCACACAATAGAGTAGTTCTAATAATTATAATTGGCGGCGGTGAGATTTAGTGTGGTTTGGAAAACATCAAAATCGAAACCAAGTTGGAACGAAATTGTTTCTGTATAAAAATATCGCTATGCGGCTTCGAATTCCTTCGGCTAGGATTAATTTAAAATTACATAACATGGAATAGTGTTGTCGTACAACAGCGATATACAGAGAGTAAAACTATTGAAAAAACTCGAAGATGAACTAATTACGTACCCCGTGCATTAAAAGTACAGCGCTAAAGCACGATTTGATTTCCAAGTTCCAAGTAAAAATATCCTAAAAATAACGCCCGAGTCAATCACGCGAGTTTCTTCTTCTTCCAACATTAATTGCTAACGTCATCGACTAGAAAACTATATCACAAACGAATCAATAATTTTTTTGTTGCCTTTTCATTCATCCGTTGACATGAGGCGAATGCTGTCTTCGCCCGAGCGCAGCGAGCTGGGCGTCAGGATCGAGAATCGATCCTGGTAGGACTTTTGATAGGCACCACGCATCGGCGAATGGTCCGTCGTCTCCCAATTCTTATTCTTGTTTTTATCCTTACTCTAAAATGTAATTGTATTGTATTAAATGTTAAATTTGCTTGGTGTTAGTTGGTGGTATATGCTTACCAGGACTTCTACTTGAAGCGTTTCATCTTCTGTGCTCGGAAATTGAAAGAATCGATGATTGGGAGACCTTGGCCAGTTTACAGGCGGCGGACTGCGGATCATGTGCTCGTGCATGCCTGGAAGCGACAGCGGATCAACGTCCAGATCAGTCGGGAATTCCTGAGACATGAGGTTGGCGTCGTCGGACTCCACCTCGTCGAGGCAGTCGGCGAGCGATTCGCGACTTGCAATCACTTGCTAAAAGTGCAATCAATTTTTGGTTGCTTTTTTTTGATTGTATATTGGAAATAATTACCCGAATGAAAGGATTATCCGCCCTGGAAGCCTTCAGCGCCTCCATGTCCTGGTCGATGTTGCGAATCCTGCCCGGTGTAAGCGTGACGGTGGACATCGCAGGCGACGGCGGGCCCGGCAGGTGCAGGTAGTAGTCGACGGCGGAGACGCTGAGCGTCGACTGCGCTCGGTTCACCGAGCCGTATGCGTGGTTATCTGGCGAGCGATAAACACACAAAGGGTCATTCTGGGCCTGATATCACATCTAGGTCACTGACCAACTGGGTGAAGCGTGATGCTGCTGTCTGGATTCGTGTGTTCCTGTGTATACTACTTACCATTTGTGCCCCTTTTGCTCATCGTTTCTCGCGCGGCAAGCCGGCGGATGTGCGGTGCGATCAACGGAGGGATGATGGCGTAACAACAATTAACATAACTACATCGTGTGTTTGTATCTTTTGTCAATAAACTTGACTGGGCACAAATACTACGACGCGCCACCGACGAATGTAAACTCACTATGACATTGGGATAATCGATTTTCATCCCTAAATTGCATAGGCAACCAAACCAGCATTGGGTTTACTCTTACATTAATATATTTAATAAGAATATAATACTTGGAAAGATTCGAATGTTTAAGTACAGATTTTAAGCTAAAAGCTGTAGAATTTTGCAGACATTTTCTTTGCATGCCTGTTCTGAAGGGTTGTTATTTGTAACAATAAGATCCCACGACGTATAATCATCCAGGTCGCATTCTGATGTAACATCATCAACCCCTAAAAAATATTTTTGTAATTTTTCATACTAACTTTCTGTTAATTACCTTCTGTAAATTTCCAGCCGCGGCTATGCCTAACGGCATTATCAGCAGTTATTCTCACAGATCTAATAGAAACACTTTTATGACAAAATTGTGAATAAAACCAGTTGATGTCAGTTTTCCTTCGAATATCACTGACTATCCATACATCTGCATTAGGAGCTGAAAAATATTTTAATTTATATCTTAACTATATGAAATATAGTATTATTACCATTATTGCAAGCAATATTACAAAAGTATCCTGGTTCTTTAGCTCTCATCTTGTCGCTCCATTCAATCATTGCTTTTCTGTGCAGTTCCTTATACGGACCATCACTCATCAATTCCTGGTGATCAAGATTGTGTTCCTTAGCATACTGGCCTTTAAGTGGTTCAGAGATTCGAATGATTGCTGCATTATTTAATCTGAAACATGTATTATTAACATTTAAATAATACTATGGAATGGAATGTGTTATACTGCTACCTTTTTAGTAGAATTTCAGCGAAGTAATCTTTACCACACTTTCGTTTGCCGCTCATAAGTAGAATATCCTTAGGTGTATGCATTTTGAATCCAATACTTTACTAATATTACATTTTACTTAGCCACGAATACAAAGCGTAACTCATCCAAACAGAAAGAGCACGAAATGAAGTTTACAGTTAGCATAACACTTTCAAAAATGAAATACAACCGTAAATACTGCGGAGATCTGATGACCTTAGTTAAAATCAGCAGTGTGTTTGTTGTGTATAGGACACATAACCATACATTATTTACTCTTAGTATGTGTTTTGTGTTTTTAGTGAACTTATATTTGACTTTTGTTACGTTTTAGGTGCATTCACCATGGACAAATTACCAATACTGCCATTTGAAATAGTTCTATCATATCTTAACACCCTGGACAAACACAATGCAATAGTTGCATTCAATTATGATGTCACAGCACTCGGAAGTACTTTAAATAGGTATGTTTTAAACACTTAAATTATGACTATTTATAACTGATAATTTTTTAGTAAAATTTCGTTAGCTTTGGAGTATCGCTTTCGACAAAACATGATCAACACTCTGATTGGCAGAAGAAAAGCACTGGTTAAGGAATTGGATCTAACAGGAATATTTTGGATCCCCAAACATGTCATTCTGAAGGCATGTGCACAACTAGTCAACTTGGAATACCTGTACCTGTTGGGAACATCTGTGGCAGTTAATACTAATTTTAAAGATTTTCAAGGAATGCAAAAGGTAAGCTTTAAAAAGAAACATTTATTCATTTAAAGCTAGATTAAATGTGTTGCAGTAGCAGTAAATGATAAGGACACAATAACACATTCCTTATTGGAAAGGAGGATAATTCCTTATTCCGATCAAATTTGTTTTGACAGTATAGTGGTGAGTTTTAAGCATTACAATCTAATTCAATGTTCAATGTAATGCTTTTTAGAAAATAAAGTTACCAATGTACAATCATCCAATATTCATTGAAAATTGGATGGCTTTGCTTAAAGCTGGAGCAACAATGGAGACAATTCATAGAGATATGGAAAAATTGTACACAACAGTTACATATTCCGATTTTATGGGTGATTATCGACTTTTTCTCTTGGAATTTATATCAAAAATAACTAAAATCGGATTTTTTTATGTTAGTTGAAGATGAGAAGCTAAAGGAGTATTTATATGAACTACGCAACGTGAAAATTTTGAATGTGGAACAGTCCACACCGTAAGTCTTTTTTGTTATTTTGATCATACTTTCATTTATATACTGTTAATTTTTACAGTCCTCGTATTGCAACGGTCAACTTGGAACCTATAAAATTCCTCGTGAATTTAACTGCACTCTACATTGATGTCCATTCAGCTGTAGGCAATATGTTTCTCAAGCCAGTGAGTACGACATTTAATTACGAATATAAATGAAATTCTTGTTCCAAATATAGCTTCTTCAATCATGCAGAAACTTGACAAAGTTAAACATAACGTGTTACAATGCAACGTTTTCCTTTACACATTTGAAATACGCCAGCAACAGTTTGCGGGACTTAAGGTATGTTTTATTTTTTTTTATTTCCTGGAGCAAGTAAATTTGATGAGTCGGTTTCAGTGTTTGTATGCGTAGCTCGGTGTACTTCAACATGGAGAAATTCTTTTTTGATATCAACCAACACTCGACGTTACACTTACGTCGCTTATACTTGAGATTCAATCAAATGAACGATGCACGACCAGCGACACATGCTGAGATGTTGAAATTTATGCGACGCCAGGCACAACTTATTTTTGTGTGCATCGAGTGCACGGATGTTGCAAGAAAGACGATTCGTGATATAGGATTATTGCTAAGGTCCTTCAAGAAGGAACCGCATCAATTGTTTACTTGTATACACCACACGAACTTGTGTATTAATGGTATACCTTTACAGCATGTTGACCTAGTACACAATGCGTGTAGGGAAAATAGAATTTGACCACTACCTACAAATGCGGATTTTTATTTACTTCCTAAATTGTTGTTCCTTAATGTTCCTTGCATCAATTGTGTTACGAGAAAATCGTATTCATAAATAATGTTTGTGTATTGGAGAACTGATTTTTTTGTTTGTTTACTATTTGTTTGGTTCACGTTGGCTCTCAATTCTCTTCCCTACTTAGTCGGTCGTGCGTTGTTGCACGGTGCGCACATGTTTTATTCGTCGGTCAGCCTCGTGGCAGTTTATCGTGTGTCTTGTGATAATATCAAGAATGTGATATTACTTGCTTTACGGTGCTTTACATTCGGTCGATCGTCGACGGCATTTATTAATTAAATGTTTGTTAAATGTTTTGCCTGTGAGGTGGTTGATGTAAGTGTTGCTACATAAGTATATGCAGTTTCACTACACACTATGAAGCAAATACGTTGGAATTATACAATATAACTTTGAACAATTTTCAAATTTATTATATTTTGTTACGCATTTATATTGAAATAAAGTAAGAGTTAATATAATATTTTCAAGTATATAAATTTTGTATCCTCTTTGTCGTTTCCAGAAATAGTTACAAAAGTTACATTTGACTTCAGGTGTTTGAATGATGGGTATAGTGTTGTTGTTTTTAAAAAGATGAGAAAAACAACACCATTTATACCTGAAACAAACAAAACTTGATAAGTGAGCATTGTGGCTCAGGTGGCATGTGCATATGCTAGCATGCTGGAGGTTCGTGGATCGAATCTCAGTTGTAGAAGGCAATTTTATTAAATAATAAGAAATTTACGAAATGTGGGTTGCATACCACAAAAATTCAAGATTCAAATGTTAGAAATAACTTGAAAGGCAAAGTACAACGAAGCAACAATAAGAATAAGTAGAAGTTGGTGGAGGAGCAGCAAATAGAGAGCAGCAGCAGTAGCAGCAGGAGAGAGAGTATAGGAGAAGTAAGAAGAGAAGAAGAAGAAGAGAGAGTACAGGAAGAAAAGAGAATAGGGGTGACAGAATTTTTAAATTTTTTGCCACGTGTCGTTATAACAGACAGTCTACGGTCCACTGCTTCGATGCGTCCATTGCTCCCGGCCCATCCTACAGCTACGATGTCTCTGCGCTTCATCCCCGGAATTATCAGGCATATTAACAATTTTTATGGTGGGGGATCACCCCCAGAGAGAGGGAACTCCTTATAAGGACATCCTTTTAAGAACTTGTAAAAATATTTCTAATTTTTAAGTCGCCTCAAGAGAGGGGACACTTAAAAATATTCTTACAAGTTCTCACCTGTACCTGAAATGAAAGATGGAGTACACAAATCATACAAGATACCTTAACAATTTTTATAGTGGGGATCATCCCCCGAGTGGGAGAACTCCTTGAGGACTTGTAGAGGTATTTCTAAGTGTCGCCGCTCATAGAGCCGACCACAACACTGAGAAATACTTTACAAGTGGTGTCCTGTACCTGAAATGATAGAAGGAAGGGGTGCACAAGTCATGAGACACAGCCATTGCCTTTAACATTTCTTTATTAACAAATTACATACAATACAAGTTCAGAACTTGCAATTTCAATACCTACAGAACACATGACGTCATTTTAAAATATGTTTATGACCTGCATAGCCGCGCTGTACTAACGGCTGCAAAAGTACAAAATATACAACACTAGAAAATAGCAAATTGCGCACTGTTATCGCGTTGCATCCCTGGAAAATTATATACAGGGTGTTACCAAAAGAAAATCTATAATTTAAAAAGAAAATCGCATCAAAACAATAAAAAAATAATTATTTTTTTACTGACCATTAGAAATTTTTTTATACAGGGTGATACAAAAAAACTTCAAAAGTGCAAGTTTTATAACCTGTTTCCTTCTGAATACCTAAGAGAAGTGATAGGTGCGGGGTTAGAAACATAATAAATAATCCAATTACTAATTATTATACACTTTTTAAAGCAATACTGAACTAAGATCTCTTAAACTCAAATTAGCAAACACGTCAAGCCATTTACAGACAGAATAAGGAACAAAAGCACAAAAAACGGGATCTAATATGACAGCTATTGTTACTTATTTTTAGAGTGTTTAATTATTTGACTAATCGCTTTTCATTATCAGCTGATGAATTTACATTTACTGTTTAATTCGTCAAATGTTTATAAAATATAGTATTTACGTACCACATTTTCTTACACCTTCGCTATTGAAATAATCCACCAGAAGCACAAACGACGTTTATTCAAATAAATAATTAAATGAATACACAAAACAAGTCCACCAGGAATTTTTAGCCGACGGAAGGCATCCGACGGCCGACAGCAAACACGTGCGTACATTATTAAAGCCACGGGTTCCACGCGCGATAACTCATTAACGACACTCCGCATTCGTTTGTTAATTCTAAATTCTATATTTGCTGACCAATTCTGATTCAACTACCGATTTAAAATTACAAGAAACGCGATAAGTCGCCACGACAACCGTCCCGCATCTAGACACGCGCTCACCACGCGGCAGCGCACGATCGACTAAGTAAAGAAGTGGAACGAACAAACACTGCTGAACACATCGGACGCGCTGCAATGTGATAAAATAAGTTGTTTGTACCAAACACCGATTGAGTGATGGAGTCAAGAGTGTAAACTATGAACAATTTAGGATGTTGATACCGTCTAATGCAATGACAAAAAATTTATATTATAAATGTACTACTTTCTTATTCGTATATATAATGTAGGGGAGACTGGGTACGGTTGTGCCAGGGTACGGTAGTGACAGTCGTCATAATAACGAAACTATACGTCATACGGGGGAGGGTGCAAGAGGATAAAGAAGCGGGGTGCAAATTTAAACCCTTTCCCTAGTATTGCATCAGTCATTGCGCGACGTTAACGTAACTAGGAGCCCACATTGCTTTTTGACAGCCAAAAGTAAATATTTTTGTACGGCTTCACTTAATAATTATTGTTGTTTGTATACAGATAGATTACTTCTGTTTTTTGTTTCTTTTAAATTGAACATTGGTAGTTATTTATAAGCATTTGCTTTTTACGTAGATTATTCGACAAAGTCATGGCGAATTTTTGTTTTCGAAAAAGAGGTTCGGGTACGGTTGTGACAAATTTTGTGGGTACGGTTGTGACATTACTATAGTTGTTCTTTTTTGCTTCAAGATGCTTTTTTGCAGTTTTTTTGCTTTTTTGTATTCCCGTGAATACGTTATCATGATCATTTTGTTAGAGATGGACCGGTGGGATCAATTGGAACTGTAAATCCTTCAGGTTGGATGCAGGATGTCTCATTCTTAACATTTCTCGAACATTTTAAGAAATTCTCGAATGCTTCTCTAACACATCAAGTTTTTCTATTGCTGGATAATCATTCCTTTCACATTCATATTAATGCACTAGATTTTTGCCAAGAGAATGGCCATTTTAGTGTATGTTTTTGCATGTCACAACCGCACCCAACCACTGTCACAACCGTCCTTGGTGTGTGGCCGGTTGTGACAATTTGACTTTTTTTTTTAAATTTATCTTATTAGTTATACGTCGTATTTAGGGCCAACATTTTAGTACTCTTGTATAGATAAATGTACAAATTACCATAAAAGTTACTTTTCTACGATCTAACTGGTAAATTAACAAAACTATTGGTAATCAAACACAAATTGTCACAACCGTACCCAGTCTCCCCTATTCTAAAATCAAAAATTAAATGCATTCTTTTTTTAAAAACAGCTTAGAAGATAATGGCAATTGACAAATCTGGAAAAAAAAATGAAAAAACAACTACTTTTAAACTTTTACTTCACACAGAGGTTACAGGGGGAGTTCCTGCAACAAACTAATACCACCCGACGGAGAATTTAATTCCGCTTCTTTTGACGACGCGATGAAGTTAGTGAGACGCCTAGATCGTGAGTAAACACGAAAAAACCATGAAAATTACAATTTTATACAAATTTTCGCGGGTAACAGGGGGAATTCCGGCAACAAACTATTACCACCCGACGGAAAATTTAATTCCGCATCTTTTGACGCCACGCTGAAGTTAGTGCGACGCCTAGATCGCGAGCAAACACGAAAAAACCATGGAAAATTACAATTTTATGCAAATTTTCGCGGGTTACAGGGAAAATTCCGGCAACAAAATATTACCACCCGACGGAAAATTTAATTCCGCATCTTTTGACGCCACGCTGAAGTTAGTGCGACGTCTAGATCGCGAGAAAACACGAAAAAACCATAGAAAATTGCAATTTTATGCAAATTTTCGCGGGTTACAGGAGAAATTTCGGCAACAAACTATTACCACCCGACGGAAAATTTAATTCCGCATTTTTTGGCGCCACGCTGAAGTTAGTGCGACGCCTAGATCGCGAGCAAACACGAAAAAACCATGGAAAATTACAATTTTATGCAAATTTTCGCGGGTTACATGGGAAATTCTGGCAACAAACTATTGCCACCCGACGGAAAATTTAATTCCGCATCTTTTGACGCCACGCTGAAGTTAGTGCGACGCCTAGATCGCGAGCAAACACGAAAAAACCATGAAAAATTACAATTTTATGCAAATTTTCGCGGGTTACAGGGGAAATTCCGGCAACAATCTATTACCACCCGACGGAAAATTTAATTCCACATCTTTTGATGCCACGTTGAAGTTGGTGCGACGCCTAGATCGCGAACAAACACGAAAAAAACATGGAAAATTACAAGTATATGCAAATTTTCGCGGGTTACAGGGGAAGTTCCTCCAACAAAGAAAACCTCCCGACGGAGAATTTAATTCCGCATCTTTTGACGCCACGCTGAAGTTAGTGAGACGCCAAGATCGCGAGGAAACTCAAAAAAACTAGCAACTACCGATTTAAAATCACATGAAACGCAATAAGTCGTCACAAAAACCGCTGAGCAAATAAACGCGTGCCCACCAGGCGGCAGCGCACGATCGACTAAGAAAGAAATGGAACAAACACTGCTGAGCGCATGGGATGCGCTGCAACGCAATAAAAACAAGTTGTTTGTGCACTAACACCGATAAGAGCCAAGAGTGCAAACTACGAGTACAAACTATTCAGGTTGTACTATGGCGCACACACACAACTTTCAATATAACTCGCGTCACGGAATTTTCATGTAATAAATTTCAATACAGGGAGATGCAAAATTAAATTCTGCACGTGGGAAAATTATTTCAAACTAATTTTGATACCGCGTTCGCGTGTTATAGCAAGAAAACTACAATTCCTAGCGCAACGAGTACTAGTGCGTATACACACAACTTTAAATATAACTCGCGTCACGGAATCTTCTTGCAATAAATTTCGATACAGGGAGATACAAAATTAAATTCTGCACGTGGGAAAATTATTTCAAACTAATTGCGACTCCGTGTTCGCGTGTTATAACAAGAAAACTACAACTCCTAGCGCCACGAGTACAAGTGCGTATACACACAACTTTAAATATAACTCGCGTCACGGAATTTTCTTGCAATAAATTTCGATACAGGGAAATACAAAATTAAATTCTGCACGTGGGAAAATTATTTCAAACTAATTGTGACACCGTGTACGCGTGTGATAAGAAGAAAACCACAATTCCTAGCGCAACGAGACTATCGCAGAAACAATCGCAGAGACTATTCTGCGAACTATTCTCTATAAGATAGGCTATTTAAAACGGAAATATGAGAGATGAAATTTTCATTCTTAAGAAAAAATTGCCAAGGGGGGGTGCTTGATACTTTTTTTCGACGATTTTTGATAATTAATATCTCCTAAACTAAAAGCTATAGCTACCAACGAATAGCTGATTATGAAAGATTGGAAAATTCTCTATCAGATAAAAATATAAAATAATTATATTTCCTACAGTAAAAGGTCGAAAAATGCGACTAAAAGTGCTAAAAAGTGACATTTTTCAATTTTTGTCAATTTTCTTCAATCGCGAATATCTCGTAAACTAAAAGAGATAATTAAGATCCGATCGCAGCGTCTTAATCTACGGACTATTCTCTATAAGATAGGCTGGTTAAAGCAGAAATCTGAGAAATAAAATTTTCATTCTTAAGAAAAAATTGCCAAGGGGGGGTGCTTGATACTTTTTTTCGACGATTTTTGATAATTAATATCTCCTAAACTAAAAGCTATAGCTACCAACGAATAGCTGATTATGAAAGATTGGAAAATTCTCTATCAGATAAAAATATAAAATAATTATATTTCCTACAGTAAAAGGTCGAAAAATGCGACTAAAAGTGCTAAAAAGTGACATTTTTCAATTTTTGTCAATTTTCTTCAATCGCGAATATCTCGTAAACTAAAAGAGATAATTAAGATCCGATCGCAGCGTCTTAATCTACGGACTATTCTCTATAAGATAGGCTAGTTAAAGCAGAAATCTGAGAAATAAAATTTTCATTCTTAAGAAAAAATTGCCAAGGGGGGGTGCTTGATACTTTTTTTCGACGATTTTTGATAATTAATATCTCCTAAACTAAAAGCTATAGCAATCAACGAATTGCTGATTATGATAGATTGGAAAATTCTCTATCAGATAAAAATATAAAATAATTATATTTCCTACAGTAAAAGGTCGAAAAACGCGACTAAAAGTGCTAAAAAGTGACATTTTTCAAGTTTTGCCCATTTTTTTCAAATGCAAATATCTCGTAAACTAAAAGAGATAATTAAGATCTGATCGCAGCGTCTTAATCTACGGACCAATCTCTATCAGATACGATAGTTAAAACCGAAATCTGAGAGATGAAATTTTCATTCCTAAGAAAAAATTGCCAAGGGGGGGTGCTTGATACTTTTTTTCGACGATTTTTGAAAATTCATATCTCTTAAACTAAAAGCGACAGCAAGCAACGAATTGCTGATTATGATAGATTGGAAGATTCTCTATCAGATAAAAATATAACATAATTATATTTCCTACAGTAAAAGGTCGAAAAACGCGACTAAAGTGCTAAAAAGTGACATTTTTCAATTTTTGCCCATTTTCTTCAATCGCGAATATCTCGTGAACTAAAAGAGATAATTAAGATCCGATCGCAGCGTCTTAATCTACGGACTATTTTCTATTAGATACGATAGTTAAAACGGAAATCTGAGAGATGAAATTCTCATTCTTAAGAAAAAATTGCCAAGGGGGGGTGCTTGATACTTTTTTTCGACGATTTTTGATAATTAATATCTCCTAAACTAAAAGCTATAGCTACCAACGAATAGCTGATTATGAAAGATTGGAAAATTCTCTATCAGATAAAAATATAAAATAATTATATTTCCTACAGTAAAAGGTCGAAAAATGCGACTAAAAGTGCTAAAAAGTGACATTTTTCAAATTTTGTCAATTTTCTTCAATCGCGAATATCTCGTAAACTAAAAGAGATAATTAAGATCCGATCGCAGCGTCTTAATCTACGGACTATTTTCTATAAGATACGATAGTTAAAACGGAAATCTGAGAGATGAAATTTTCATTCTTAAGAAAAAATTGCCAAGGGGGTGCTTGATACTTTTTTCGTCGATTTTTGATAATTAATATCTCTTAAACTAAAAGCGATAGAAACCAACAAATTGCTGATTATGAAAGAGGAGGAAATTCTCTATTAGGTGATAATTAAAAATAATTAAATTTCGTAAAATAAAACCGCGACAAAAAAAAAACACGAAAATGCAAAGTAACGATCGACACATATAATTGAATTATAAACTTGCCAATGCAGAACTCATCAGACTCCAAGGCCCGGCAAATACTGTAAATAAAAAAAGAAAACATAAGTAATGTTATATTCACACAGCGGAGAAAAACAATCAATATGTGCTGTTAAGTTCGGAGTTACTTACATCAGCACGATGGATCATCCAAATGATGAATAAATCAACATGGTCACGATACACTTACGCGCAAATAATAAATAACTGTACTAAAGTTATTAAAGTCAAATTAAAATTGAATGGTCGATTCATGATAGAATATAATACGAATTGGAAAGTAGAAGTCCGAATAAACGATACGAGTCGCGCAAAATACGCTTGGATCAACCAGAAACCGGCACGCAACTGGCCGCAAACTGCATAAGCAACGACGAGGCAGTTGCTGATAAGAAAGCAAGAGGTGCGCAAGGCCGACGCGTCGATGGCCCCCGACCTTGTGCGTTAATTGCAATAGATACGGAAACCCGGCGGCGCGTCGATGGCACGCGACCTTATGCGCGAATTGCATTTGGCTAGGTACCTGCGATCAAAACTAAACTAAGATGCGGCATGAGGGGAGGGCAACGACAAGACACGAGACGTGATAAGTATAAATTGTGGTCAAAACAAATACAATTTTTGCGTGGAATGTCCATGTTTGCTTATAAATATAGAAATAAACAATAACAAATAAGCAAAGTAAACACTACTATACGAAATACCCTCTCTAGTTATCGTTGTGAAACGATACTCTGTTACAACCATTGCAAATAAATACAACTTCTATCAGAAAAGAATTTAAAAAAATTTAATTTCGCAAGGTAAAAGGTCGGAAAACGCACTTCTACCGCTGCGCTTATACGGTGCCTTGAACTCGAGTCACTTCTACCGCTGCGCTTGTAGGGTGCCTTGAACACAAGTCACTTCTACCGCTACCCTCATACGGTGCCCTAAACACAAGTCACTTTTACCGCTGCGCTTATACGGTGCCCGGAACACGAGTCACTTCTACCGCTGCATTTGTACGGTGCCCTGAACACGAGTTACTTCTATCGCTACATTTGTACGGTACCCTGAACACGAGTCACTTCTACCGCTATCCTCGTAAGGTACCCTGAATACGAGTCACTTCTACCGCCTTTACCGTAAAGAATTACAAGATTTGCAGAACCATTTTGAGTCATTTCCTGCATTATTTCAGGGGATGACTCAACCACAAGGCATGGGGAAACTCTCGCGCTATAAGAATTTAAAGAAAACACGAAAATAATAGAAACGGTTCCCGAGACATGACACTAAACAGTTCACGCGTAAGTTTGAGGCGCATCGTTAAGATTAATAATCGCGCATAATAAACTAAACATAACATTGAAGTAGCACAAACTGTATATGTTAGAGGAAAAGTATGAATCTATATAATCTATACAAGCTATTAAACACACTGTTAAAGTATAGTTCGTTATCAATAAATTGACGGCGTGATAAGCAAAAACCAACTTGACATAAACAGTTTGTACGCGGACACTGTACTTAAAACAAAATTCATCTCCACAGTAAAACGCCCATCAACTCTAAAAACAAATATTTTTAGATACCACTATTATTTGTTAAACCACAAGGTAATATTACACAATAAATTCATTGACCTACATTCACTTGTGTCTGTATATTAGCGTTGCGAATGCTTACGTAGTATGTAATATTACGAAATATTTTGTTCAAGTTCATACTCCTACATCGTGTTTGTATCTGTTTGTTAGGTTATAATATAAATGTGCACCTAGTCCACTCTATCCCCGTTCATGTCTAGCTTACTATTTCTAAACAATTCCCACGATGATTCTGTCATTTACTTGCAGTATTGAGGCATTATGGACAAACTCCCGGTAATTGCTTTCGAAATAGTTTTATCCTACCTAGACACACTGGACAGACACAATGCGATAGTCGCATTCAGTTATGATGTTTCCGCACTTGCCACTCACCTGAACAGGTATAGTAGTTCACTCTGTTATACATAGTTGACTAACAAATCGAATCATTTTATTCCACAACGTGTAGCAATATTTGTTTAGCCTTGGAATATCGATTTCGCCAACACATGATAAAACCGCTTGTAAACTGTCGGAGAACGTTAATCAAAGAGTTGGATTTAACTGGGATTTTTTGGATTCCAAAACATATGATACTCAATGCCTGCTCATTGCTTGTTAATTTAGAGTATTTATACTTATTGGGTACAACGGTTGTTTGCAAGACAAATTTTAAAGAGTTTCAACAGTTAAAACAAGTAAGATTATTTAAAAATAGCTATGTAATAATAAATTTAAACAAAACTTACTAAAAACTAATGAATCGTAAATTTAATATTGTAGATTAAAACAATTGCAACAGCAGTAGATGTGAACGGCCGAGGAAGAAAAGAATATTGGTTGATAAATCGCCGAATTGATGCTGATTCAAATAAGATTACCTTCGATCCGCAATTGGTATATGTTTTCATTGAATGTTTAAATGATAGTTTAATGTATTGTCTCTTAATTGTAGTGCTTTGATTTAAGTTCCAAGTGTAACAAGTCACATGAAATTTTAAGTGAAGATTGGTTATCTGAGTTTAAAGATGGAACGAGCAGTGGTCAATTTATATCAGATCTACAATCGACTTATACCAAACGAAATTATAGAGAATTTACGTGTAAGTATTAACTCTAATATAACCTATAAAATATTAAATATTTTTCATTCATTAACATTACAATTTCTTAAGTTTATTAAAATACGATTTGCGTAGAATTATTTTATTGAATAGAAAAGATTTAATTTGAACGCTGCAAGTACTGTAAACAAGCAAATCGCTAATAAAAAGAATACGGATAAGATGCATGCAGCGCGAGCTCACACGTACACGAGTGCCACTAACTGACACATGCAAGCTTGAGCTGAGAAATCACCTGACTTAATATTATTCAATTTTGTGCATCCTAGCGCAATCTATGCTCTATACGGAGAGTTTTAGATAATATGGGTGTTGTGCGAGGTCTCATGCGGTCACTAGTTTTATATCAACAATAATTTTTGATTTTAGGAATAATTTGAATAAATACCAAGCCAATTTACTTTCCGCGCTTAATATTCGTCATTATACTGCACTGTATTTAATTAAATATTATTCTAAATAAAAATATAGAGACTGTAGGTAAATAAATTTGACTGCGACCGAAAATTAATTAGAATTTAATAAATGATAATTGATAATATGATAATCAGTGATAAACAGTATTTGAGAATGCAACATATTTAATTTCAACGTAACGCACAAACACTATAAAGAAGCAACTCGCGAATAAAAAGGAACAATCTGCCGTCCGTCGGCAAGTATTCCGTAGTCACGTACCGGCGAATATACGATATACGAATCCAGAGGAAATAATATATTAAAATTTTGATTACCTGTGATAATATTCCGATTACTAAAATTATTCAAGCGGTTGGATCATCTGCGGATGACGAATATAATTTGCACAAATTTGTAAACACAAAACACACACGAAACATTAAATCATTGCGGATATCTAAAAGCGGACGCAGAGAATAGGGCAATTAGCACTGAACACCGAAAATAACACGCGCGTTTCGCGGAATTAAAAATCTCTAGAAATGTTGCGAATCAAGAGAATGAACCGCACGACAGTCGACCGGCGATAAGACTGGAATGCGTGTAATATAAACACTGCGAGCGGCGTAGAATACAACAACAACACAATCCGTCGGACGACTGCACTATGCTAGCTGAAGATAAGAAATAAATCTACCTAGTTTAATATTGTAAAAGCATAAATGACACAATTAAATGCAACTAAATTAAATTATTCATTATTCATTATCAATTATTCACTACCATTGCAAAATGTATTAGAATTGAATGAATTGCAATTTTGTAATTTTAATAATCCTGTTTCGTTTTTTAATGAAAAAAAAAAGCAATAAAGCAATGCTATTCTTAGTTCTTATTTGAATATTCTATACATGAATAAACTTACATTAGAATTTTAAACTGCAACAGTTTATCTATAATTCTTAGTAAGAACTCGTAGCGTAAAACGAAGATTCGATTTTTGTATGTAAACAAGTCTATCTCTTGCGCGAAATCGCGTGATCTCACACCGACACGATGTGCACACACTACCACAAACAAATCATATTTAATGCAAATAAATGCATCCTAGTGCCATCTCAGCCCGAATTATTGACCTATATTTAAATATGCTACTCATACTCAATAAATTAAAAATAATACACGCAGTTTAATATAAATGCGATCATTATAGATCAAAACGAAACAAAAAAACCTAGAAACCAACAAAAAAAAACGTAATTTTTTTCAATTGCGAATATCTCGTAAACTCAAAGAGATACATTGGCACAAATCGCAGAGACTATCCTATGAACTAATCTCTATAAGATACGCTAGTTAAAACGGAAATCTAAGAGATGAAATTTTAAAACTTAAGAAAAAAATGCCAAGGGGGGGTGCTTGATACTTTTTTTCGACGATTTTCAATAATTAATATTTCTCAAACTAAATGAGATAGCAACCAACAAATCGCTGATTATGAAAGATTGGAAGATTCTCTATCAGATAAAAACATAAAATAATTATATTTCCAACCGTAAAAGGTCAAAAAACGCGACTAAAAGTACTAAAAAGTGACATTTTTCAATTTTTGACGATTTTTTTCAATTGCGAATATCTCGTAAACTAAAAGAGATACATAAGCACAAATCGCAGAGACTATTCTACGAACTAATCTCTATAAGATACGCTAGTTAAAACGGAAATCTAAGAGATGAAATTTTAATACTTAAGAAAAAAATGCCAAGGGGGGGTGCTTGATACTTTTTTTCGACGATTTTCGATCATTAATATCTTCGAAAATAAAAGCGATAGCAACCAACGAAATGCTGATTATAAAAGATTGGAAAATTCTCTATCGGATAAAAATATATAATAAATATATTTCCAACAGTAAAACGTCAAAAAAACGCGACTAAATGTACTAAAAAGTGACATTTTACAATTTTTGACGATTTTTTTCAATTGCGAATATCTCGTAAACTAAAAGAGATACATAAGCACAAATCGCAGAGACTATTCTACGAACTAATCTCTATAAGATACGCTAGTTAAAACGGAAATCTAAGAGATGAAATTTTAATACTTAAGAAAAAAATGCCAAGGGGGGGTGCTTGATACTTTTTTTCGACGATTTTCGATCATTAATATCTTCGAAACTAAAAGCGATAGCAACCAACGAAATGCTGATTATAAAAGAAAGGAAAATTCTCTATCGGATAAAAATATAAAATAAATATATTTCCAACAGTAAAATGTCAAAAAACGCGGCTAAATGTACTAAAAAGTGACATTTTACAATTTTTGACGATTTTTTTCAATTGCGAATATCTCGTAAACTAAAAGAGATACATAAGCACAAATCGCAGAGACTATTCTACGAACTAATCTCTATAAGATACGCTAGTTAAAACGGAAATCTAAGAGATGAAATTTTAATACTTAAGAAAAAAATGCCAAGGGGGGGTGCTTGATACTTTTTTTCGACGATTTTCGATCATTAATATCTTCGAAACTAAAAGCGATAGCAACCAACGAAATGCTGATTATAAAAGAAAGGAAAATTCTCTATCGGATAAAAATATAAAATAAATATATTTCCAACAGTAAAATGTCAAAAAACGCGACTAAATGTACTAAAAAGTGACATTTTTCAATTTTTGACGATTTTTTTCAATCGCGGATATCTCTTAAACTAAAAGAGATAACTAAGAACGAATCGCATAATTGAAAGGGGACATGCTGTATCATGTTTCTATCACGTAAAATTTAAATAAATATTACAGTTTTGTACACAAATGCAATAAATCTGACCTATATGAGGCGTAATGTTCAAATTTAAAGCTGCGTTTTAAAAGTTTGTTTCCAATATTAATCATAAATCGTATCGTATAAGCGCTTTTCATGCAATAATTAAACACAACTGGATAGAGAATTTGATTCTGCATATTTGGACCCCGCGCCCAAGTTTGTAAGACGTTACTCCCAATAACAAAAAAATTAAATTATTTAATGCTAACGCTTTAGTAGAAGGCTTTGCACAACGCGGTGGACCGCGACAAAATGACACGTAAATGCAAAGTAATGATCGACACAGAAAATAAAACGAAATATATAATTGAATTGTAAACTTGCCAATGCAGAACTCATCAGACTCCAAGGCACGGCAAATACTGTAAATAAAAAAAGAAAACATAAGTACCTAATATTATATTTACACAGCGTAGAAAAACAAACATTCTGTGCTGTTAAGTTCAAAGTTACTTACATCAGGACGATGGGTCATCCGAATGATGAATAAATCAACTTGGCCGCGATACACTTACGCGCAAATAATAAATAACTGTACTAAAGTTGCTAAAGTCAAGTTAAAATTAAATAGTGGATTGATGATCGAATATAACACGAATTGGAAAGTAGAAGTCCAGATAAACGATACGAGTCGCAAAACACGTCTCGATCAACCAGAAACCGGCACGAAACTGGCCGCAAACTGCATAAGCAACGACGAGGCAGTTGATGATAAGAAAGCAAGAGGTGCGCAAGACCGGCGCGCCGATGGCATGCGATCTTGTGCACGAATTGCATTTGGCATTTTACCTGGGATCAAAACTAAACTAAGATGCAGCAACATGCGGCGTGAGGTGCTGGCAACGACGACACACGGCAATGCGATAAGAAAGTGTATATTGTGTTCAAACAAACACAATTCTTGTGTCGAAGGTTCACGCTTGCTGATAAATATAGAAATAGACAATACAAGTTTATTTTACAATTTTTAGTCCATGCTATTGCCATCTATTAATGATATAGTAGTTTCGAAATTTAGATTAGTAAAGGTAATAAAAAATTAAAATTCGATTTGCGTAATTCTGATTTCTAATGCTGACAGATTGACAGATTTTACATTAAATATTTAAGTGATACTTAATTTGAACATGCATCGTTTCTTGTTTACGAGGTAACACATTAGTCCGTAATCATCTGCTGATAATAAAAATGTATTAGAATTAATATAAAATTGTTAGTTATATTCATGAAAGAATTGAAGAATATTTGCTTAAATTTACGATGCTAATATAATAAACAACAACGGTGTGTTTTGATTCCACGAAATAAAGATTCGACACCTGCAGGTAAACAAACTAGATCTCTTGCGTGAAATCGCGTGATCTCACACGGACACGATGTGCACTCACTGACACATGCAAAATGCAACAAAAACGCTGCCGTGAATTTAGCGTAGGAAAGTGCATCCTAGCGCCATCAATGATCAATTCACGAAGTTAAATTTAAATAATTAATGCAAATAAGTGCATCTTAGCGCTACCTCGACGTGATGTTTATAACTACAAATAAATTCAAATATAATCCCCGACCTCATAATTTAAAATTAATTTAAAATTGTTTCGTAGTGCCAACAGATGAAGACGCGCGAATTAAACTGACAACAAAATATGGCGCTGTGAAAACTTTATATATTGATGAACATTATGGACCGTAAGTAAATGTATTTCATTCTGATTTATAAAATATCTAATATTTTACTCTTTTGTAGAAGTATAACTTCAAATGTGAACTTAGAACCGATAAAATACCTCGTAAATTTAACGACGTTCATCGTTGATGTGCACGATGTCGTGACAAAAGGCTTTCTTAAACCTGTAAGAATCTTTTTTCCTTACTTCTTTGATTTCACCTTTTAATACATATTTTTTAGATACTTCAATCATGTGATAATCTAAAAACACTAAATATTCGAAATTACAACGCGGACTTTTCCCTCTGTGACTTGCAATATGCCCGTGAGAACCTAAAAGATTTAAGGTAAGTTAAACAATTAAGTTTTAATAAACAAAAACAATATAAACATCATTTTTCAGTGTGGATATGTGCAGCTCCGCACGTTTCAACTTACAAGAGTTCCTGACGTTACAAATTCCACCATTGTTGCGCTTGCGTCGTTTATACGTGCGTTTCAATCAAATGTCCGATGACGATTGGACCCATAGCGACGCAGCATTAGAAAATTTCATCCGGAAGAATCCACAACTAATTTTTCTTTGGATTGTCTGCATGGATCACCTAGAAAAAATCGAGAACAGTGCACATTTGCTTAAAAAATACCAAACACAACCGCATCAATCGTACGAATTCAAATATGGCGACGATGACGATGCAGATGTACCACTTCAACACTGGGACATGATGAATCTATTGATAGGTTTTGTTTAATAAATTGTGAGTTGTTAAACACACAAATTTATTAATAGTTTGTACACGTTTGCGTGCTGTAACTCGTTATATAAATATAGGCGCATCCTTCAAAAGTACAAAATTTAAATGTAAACACCACCAATCCGGAGTCGCCCTCGGAAGTAAATTAACAAAACACAAATACGTCATCTTACGCGCTAGCAAAGTTACAAACTTAAAGCTATCCTATTCTTACGACGCACACCGAAGGTAGTACGAATACTGGGTGGAGCGAAATATCATTTGGTTAAGCAGCATCATCGATTAGAACGTAAAGGTAAACTCGAGTTAAAAAAAAAAACAGTTGAAGATATAAATAAATAAAGAATAACGCTACGCGGAAACGAAATAGAGAATGATCTGTGAGTGCTAATCATTGGTAAGATTTAGTATTGATTGAGTGTCGAACGCATCGTTCCCAAAAAGCAATTCGTCATGGAAGTTGTTAGTGGCGGCGCCACCGGCTCTGCCAGACTGGCTGAATGGATAGAAGCTATGCACAGCAGAGAGGCACGCGAGTTGATCTGTTTTGCTTTGACCGGCGGCGCCATTTGTGCGCTGATCGCTGAGTTGAAGTCGCAGTAAGTCGATTTCCTCGGCGATGAAACGATTGCACATGTCCACCTGCGGCTGGCCGCCATTACGTATTTCCAAATCCGGCAGCCAGCGGAAGTAGCACTGCCGCCATACATCCAGCGCGGATGCGCCTGTTTGTGGTCGGAGGCGCGCACGCGCTGATTTGTCATACAATGGATTCCGGAAGAGTACAACATCATGCTCGGCAAATTGTTCACTCCAATCCCAGACGGATCGCGGGATTAAGTTATCACCCTGTATAAACAATAAATAAATAAATTAGGACTTCATAAGAGTAGGTTTTAGTAAAATTTCGATTAATTTTCTTGGTTTTGACAATTAAAGACTTGAAAAATGATAATAATGCACTGGAGCGCCATCTTGCATTCAATTATTGAACTTTAACTACGATTTAACCTATTTTCAGTCCTATTTATCGATATTTTACTAATTATTTCAACATTTTTCGTTATTTTTAAATAAAAATCATACTTACTCTATAGGCATTCTGCCGATCATGTTGATTGTTGAACAAAAACGTATCGAAAATATTCACATGCGCTGAATCCCACACCGTCGTCAGATACGTCTCGCTAAACTGAAACGCTTCCGGATGCTGCCGTAAAAGCTGCCACACACAATCGAGGAAGAGCAGGAAGACGTACGCAGGTTCCACATCATCGTTGAGAATGTGTCCGAGTCGAAACTGAAACGGATGCGCAAGACTCACCCATTCTTTCTGCACCAGCGCCTGGAATCCGCGCATCGTGCGCCAATGCGCGTCGAGAATCAACTGCGTAAGGCTAGAAACAACGCAATTCAAATCCGCGCCTCTATCCTCTTGCAAAACAACAGTTTTACGCTGTTCTAATAAATCAGCAGCGTCACGAGCCTTCGACAGGCATGCGCTGACATGATGCAGCCATTTGCAAGCGTCCAATAAGCCGTAGAATTTGTAATCTTGCAATTTGAACAATCGTGTGCTGTCCGGCACGCATAGATTACGCAGTTTTATATAACTTCCTTGAATATCTCGTGGCGTCGGACAGTCTCGGAGCAGCTCGAATATCTCCGGCTCGGTTTTCTCCGGATGACATTTATGAATCTTCGCGAGGAATGTATTTTCATGCGAACGGTTTGTTACAGAAGGTAACACTTCGGGCATGCGCACTAATGCGGCTGATTCATTACCCCAAACCCAGATGGGGAAGCTGGTATTTCGGAAAACCTGCGCGCCTTTGTAAATATCATCGTTTGTGATGTCTTTGGGCACGACTACATACTCCGGTAGGTGTACAGAGACATTGTAGTTGGCGTTCACGTCCGACACACGCCAATTCGGGCATTGCGTGCGTTTCAGCTCGCGTTCCCAGTCATCCCGCGAGATGAATTTGTCCTTTGATTCTCGACTATGCTGCGGTTCGTGTTTATATTCGTATGCGAAGAGTAAATTCGCGCGTTTCGGGAAGGCGTGATGCAGCAACGCGTTCGCAATCTGCTTGCCGCTGTCTTTATCACAATGTTTAAAGTTGAAACTCATTGTTTTCATATTCTAATAATATAATAAAGAAAAAGTTAAAAGATGGCGATTTTAAGTGTATGTTGGGTTGCCTATGCTTACCTTACATACAATCAACAATTCTTTGATCTTTCCTGTTACATTCTGGCCAGGTGCAAGTTTTTTCTTTGACTTGTCACCCATTTGATACACAGACTCAATAGCTGATAGACAAATCTCATTTGGCTTTAGGAGTAGGTTATTCTGGTGGCCATTTGGTTCTTGATCACTGTTTGTGTTTGCAAATGATAGTTTAAAGGTTGTTACTGTTAACACACCAATTAATGCACTTCTAATGTCTACATCACTCAGCGGAGCCAGGAGGAGAACTTTTGGGCTTCATGCACCACAGTTTCACCTTAAAAACATAATTTTTTATAAAAATAAAGGAAAATAACATGAAATTTAACTATTACCTTCTAATAATGATGTCTTCTGCTTATCATTTAACGAAATATTCTATAAAAATACAAGATTAGATATATTTGTTTTGTAATTTTTAGGATTTACTCACTTCTAAAACAGTTTCATCGAGATAACTTTTGAAAGTCCCTTCATGTGTGGGATTCATGTTATACGACTGGTGCTTGAGTGCGGATAAAATCATTTGTGTGCACGTTGTGTTACTAGCCCATCACATGAAACACAAAGCCGAATCGTGATCGGTGCGTAAAGAGTGTTAATTAATTGAATTTAACTGAATGTGTATTTATTAGCAGAGCTAGGTTATGTGTACTCGTACGTCGTTGACGTTTGTCGAAACCCCAATTGACATTTGCCCTCAAAATGTTTTTTGTTTCTCGAATAAAACTACAAAAAATACGCAAAATATCCCACAACACAAACGTTTGAATTTTTGTTTTGTAGTTATACTCTATTCATTTACCCAATTCCTGGTAGATTAATTGTTTTTTTTTTCGAGTTCAACTTTGGCGCTTGAAACGCGCACATCAAAATAGCGCTAGTGTCAAAGTGTCTCGTTTGAAACCCAGCGCATATATTTACCATTATCAGCGGATGCGACGAGCGTGTCGCACGTCTTGAACGTGTTCACCGCATCGCCGCTTATCAGCACCGCGTCGAGTGGCTGGAAAACAAGCAAGAAACAGGAATCCGTCGACCGAGTGTGGAATCAACGGGCGCCCGGTTCGAATTCGGCGCCATTTTGGAGCAACGTGAGATCGTGAGTGACGAAAAAACAAATGATGATTAATCGAAATATGGCGTTCTGCCACAGGTGTAGACCGTCGCAGCGGCGCGCGACGTGCTGGTTGTAATATGCGTGTGTAACGTGTCCGCTGATGTGATTTCAGTCGAGCTGCTCGCAAGCCAAAAGCGAATCTTCGAGACCACGCAGCACACGAGATGAGCGTGGACGCGTACGGGCCGAGCTCGCAGACGCTCACGTTCCTCGACACCGAGGAGTCCGACCTTATCGGCGCCGACACGCAGGGCTCCGACTGCGACTTCACCGATTTTACGCTTCCGTCGCAGACGCAGGCATCGCAGCTGGACCTTGGCGGGCCGCAAGCATCCGGACTACAAGTAAGCACCTTCAGCACGTTTCCAACCTTAAATTCCCACAAAAACCCAATTAGATTTGTGATTTGTCACATGTCATAATAAATATTTCAACTTTAGGTGAATGGGATTTCATCGAAGAGCATCAGTAATAAACTAGCTGTTGCCACATCTGCACTAGGAGAGTTACAATTCGAAGAAGAAGATGAGGAGTTTTTCAGCAAGGAACTCCCTGAATATGCTTGCAAGTATTGTGGGATTCACGAGCCTAACTGTGTGGTCATGTGCAACCTCTGCAAGAAGTGGTTTTGCAATGGCAGAGGCAATACATCTGGAAGCCATATTATTAATCATCTAGTAAATATTACTTTAAACTTAAAAAATGTAAAAAATTTACATAAATATTTATTTTAGGTGCGTGCAAAGCACAAGGAAGTGACTTTACACAAAGATGGACCTCTGGGTGAGACTGTCTTGGAATGCTACAGTTGTGGCGTGCGCAACGTGTTCGTCCTGGGTTTTATTCCCGCCAAAGCTGATTCTGTCGTTGTGCTTTTGTGCAGACAACCTTGTGCTGCACAAAATTCTCTCAAGGTAATAAAACTTTACTTAAAAATACAAAAATTATAAAAATTTTAATTTAGGATATGAATTGGGAGCAAGAGCAATGGAAGCCGCTCATCTCCGACCGTTGCTTCCTCACCTGGCTGGTGAAAGTGCCCTCCGAGCAGGAGCAACTACGCGCTCGTCAAATCTCCGCGCAGCAGATCAACAAACTCGAAGAATTATGGAAGGAAAACGTCGACGCCACGTTCCAAGACCTCGAAAAACCCGGCGTGGATGAAGAACCGCAACAGGTACTTCTACGCTACGAAGATGGCTACCAGTACCAAAATATCTTCGGCCCGCTGGTGAAACTCGAGGCAGATTATGACAAGCGATTGAAAGAGTCGCAGACGCAGGAGAATATCGATGTGCGTTGGGATGTCGGACTCAACAAGAAAACAATCGCGTATTTCGCGCTGGCAAAAACCGACGGCGATATGAAACTGATGCATGGCGATGAACTGCGCCTGCGTTACGTTGGTGAAATGCATAAGCCATGGGCAGGTGTCGGACATGTCATCAAAGTACCTGATAACTTCGGGGAAGACATCGGGATTGAATTAAAGAATAGCCTGGGTGCGCCAACTGAATGCAGCAGTAACTTCGTCGTGGATTTCATCTGGAAATCAACGAGTTTCGATCGTATGCAACTTGCGTTGCGTAAATTCGCGGTGGATGACACATCAGTGTCGCCGTACATCTACCATCGCCTTTTGGGACATGAAGTCGAAGAGGTTTTGTTTCGTTGTCACTTACCGAAACATTTCTCTGCGCCAAATTTACCTGATTTGAATAGATCACAGGTTTATGCAGTTAAACACGCTTTGCAACGTCCGCTGTCGTTGATTCAAGGCCCGCCAGGTACAGGAAAAACTGTCACGTCTGCTACTATTGTCTATCAACTGGTAAAACAAAATGGCGGACCTGTTTTGGTTTGTGCGCCATCAAACACCGCTGTGGATCAACTCACGGAGAAGATACACCGTACTAACCTCAAAGTAGTGAGGTTATGTGCGAAGTCACGTGAAGCTATTGATTCACCAGTGAGTTTCTTGGCTTTGCACAATCAAATTCGTAAAATGGAGACTAATACCGAACTGCAGAAATTGCAACAGTTGAAGGATGAAACTGGTGAGTTGAGTTCCGTCGATGAGAAACGCTATCGCACTCTAAAGAAAGCCGCGGAGAAGGAATTATTAGAAGCGGCCGATGTGATTTGTTGCACTTGCGTCGGCGCAGGAGATCCGCGTCTTGTCCGATTGAAATTCCATTCGATTTTGATCGATGAAAGCATGCAGGCGACCGAACCCGAATGTATGGTGCCTGTTGTACTGGGTGTTAAACAATTGATTCTTGTCGGGGATCATTGCCAGCTTGGGCCGGTGGTGATGTGCAAAAAGGCCGCACGTGCTGGATTATCGCAGAGTTTGTTCGAACGCCTGGTAGTCTTGGGTATACGACCATTCAGACTCGAAGTGCAATATCGTATGCATCCGGAACTCAGCCGGTTTCCGTCTAACTTCTTTTATGAAGGCAGTTTACAAAATGGCGTCTGTGCGGATGAGCGTCGTTTGAAAAAGGTGGAATTCCCATGGCCGATTATTGACAGACCGATGTTTTTCCACGTTACACAAGGCCAGGAGGAGATTGCCGGCAGTGGAACAAGTTATTTGAACCGCACCGAAGCAGCGAATGTTGAAAAAATCGCGACGAGATTCCTACGCGGCGGTGTCAAACCCGAACAAATCGGTGTAATCACTCCGTATGAAGGGCAACGCGCTTATTTGGTGCAACATATGCAGTATCAAGGATCCCTGCATAGTAAACTCTATCAGGAGATAGAGATTGCCTCTGTGGATGCGTTCCAAGGGCGAGAAAAGGATATAATTATCATGTCATGCGTGCGTTCGAATGAACATCAAGGTATCGGGTTCTTAAATGATCCGCGACGGTTGAATGTGGCGCTGACGCGCGCTAAATATGGGATTATCATCGTCGGTAACCCGAAAGTGCTGTCAAAACAACCACTTTGGAATCATTTGTTGACTTTTTACAAAGAACAGAAGGTTCTAGTTGAAGGTCCGTTAACTAACCTCAAAGAATCGATGATTCAGTTTGCCAAACCCAAGAAGTTGATTAATTCTGAGAATCCTGGTTCTCATTTTATGACTACTTCGATGTTTGACGCTAGGGAGGCGCTGGTGCCCGGTTCGGTGTATGACCGAACTAATGTCGCCATTAATGGCGGCCAGTATAACTATCCGCGCGGCGCTGTTCCGCTGGATATGTTCAGTCGTACGCATGATCCGATCTCGTACATCTCTCCGGAGCGTGCGCAGGCCGCCATGTCGAATCTGCCGGTTCCGGTGGGTATGTTTATGAATATGGCGCATATCCCGCCGAGGTTTTATAACCAACATCAGCAAGCGATGCAGGCGCGTCAGACGCAGACGCCGCGCACGCGTAAACCTCTCAATACGCGCCCGGGGATGCAGCATAAGGGCAAGACACTCAGCCAGGAGCAAACGCAGACGTTCAGTCAGAGTCTGCAGTTGACACAGGGCATGTCACAGCCGGGATTGTCCCAGCCCGGGTTTAGTCTATCGCAGCCGGGATTGTCACAGGCCGAGCTCAGTCAGGATCCGTACGTGGCGGACTTCCAGTCGCAGATGGACGGGTTGTTGTCGCAGGATTCGACTTACCAAGGCGATCGCTCGGCGTTCTACCAGCCGGGCGCGCAGTTCTCGCAACCGTACTGAATGCCGGCGGCACGCGCAGCGGGACAGCAGCGATTAATGCACAACGACCATTAATATGCAACGCAGACCAACTCGAAACTGGACGTACGAACAAACACGGGGGCGCGTACGAAACACACTTACCGACCAGCAGCAGCAGCAGCAGCAATACAGCGGCAAAAACAGTCCGGAATGTTTTTTTACGTGGTTCACGAACGCGAATGGAAAAAAATGGATAAATTGATGCGGATGGGGGGTGGCCAAATAATGACGACGATCGATGGCAAATGAAACAAACAAAAAAAAAATCATTATCAAAAAAAAAATTACAATGGCGGATGATTGATCCGACCGAGATCTTCATACTTATAAGGAGCATGCGATTCTGACGCTCGGATGGTTGCCGTCCGAGGCGCAGCAAGATGGTGGCGATTAACAAGTTGTGTTGCGTACACAACGATTTGGAAAACGGGTCCTTCTCACACACACGAGGAGTGGAAAGATGTGGTGCAAGATGTTAAAGAATGCGCTTTTAATGCTCCGTTAATCTAATGAATTATTATTAATTTTTCTCTTTCGGTTAGTTAAATAATTATGTATTTCGTCTAAATTTGTGTGTAGCAATTATCTGCGAGGCGCAAATCACTAGATAATCTATCAGTTTTTCTGTGTACGACGGGAAGCTTGCTTTTATACATCATTCAACAACATTTAATAGGAAGCAAATTCATCACATTTTACTTGTATTCATTTCTCTATTGTGCAAATTCTTCTTCTGATGATTGACCAGTAGGTCAATTCATTTATTTCTTTTTAAATCTTTTAATATGGAACTTTATACATGTTACTTTCAAATTAAAATTGTTGTGAACAGAAACACTATTCAAAGCACTTCTTCAGTAGTTAAGTTCTTCGAAGGGTCTTGTAAAAACTTAAAATCCAACACGCCATCTTGTTCGTAGTCTTTGGTTAGTTGCAAACCGACTAAATCTTGAATGCGTTCACCTGGTATACCAATGGGATAGGAAATTTTCACCAGAATATCGTTTTCTGTTAGAATTACGCCAGCTGTCATTTCTCTGGCCGCCACAAGTGATTTCCCGAGTTTATTACGACATGGAAGTTCACTTGGTAGGATTGTTTTCTTGTAACTACCCATTATAACCTCAATTCTGCGCACTTCATCCACCATCTCCTTGAATTCTTGACAATCCAATGAGCATGCATGATCACTACCTTTGAAGGTCTTATCCAAGGTTATATGACGTTCAATAACCTAAAATTTATGTATTTTTAGTGTTTTTACATTAAAAATTAAGGTTTTTCTTTACCTTTGCACCCGCAGCTACAGCCAGATGCACAATACTCCCAAGTTCATGCCCGGAATACCCAATGTGTACACTAGGATACCTCTCTTTGTACACACCAATCAAATTGAGGTTAGCATCAGCCAGAGGCGTGGGATAAGCGGAAACGCAATGCATCAACACAAAATTCGTATGATGTGCACGTATAATGTTGTAAATCTTATCCACAGTCTCCATTGTTTGCATCCCTGTGGACACAACCAGCGGAATATTCAACTTAGCAGCTTTCTCAATCAAAGGAAAATTGTTTGCATCCCCGGAGCCAAGTTTAATGAAAGGTACATTCATGGCGGCCATTTTCTCCAAAGATCTACAATCCATAGCAGATGCAGTGAACATCATATCAATAGACGTTGAATATTTTTTCAAAATGGAAAACTCCGCATCGCTGAACTCCAGTTGTCGACGGTGTTCACCATATGTTCTCCCGAAAGAATTATCATTATCGTACGGACGTTCAAAAGCAACTTGTGTGAAACGTGCAGGGAAACATGTTCTTTGGAATTTGACACAATCAGCGCCTGCTTCCTACAATATTCCCACAGGTAAACATTAAAAATAAAAAAAAAATCATAAAAAAAAGAAGAAAATAACATACTTTAGCTGCCAAAACTAATTTCTTCGCCAAAAGTAAATCCCCTTGATGATTCTGACCAATTTCAGCGATGATGAATGTCTTATGTCCATCACCAATCAAAACTTCACCCGAAACACCACGCAAGACCAAATCACGTGGCATTTTGAACCGACTTGTTCACTTAAGTGAAGAATTTAGACTGTGACAAGCACCACACATTCTACTGCCACTAGTCATAGACTTATCAAGCGACGGAACAAAACTAATTGAAGATAAATTAGGTTGTTTGGCGTTTTAATGGACTTATGACCACACGATAAGCCGAATATCAAATAGAAATGGTAAATATAAATATCAAAGTCTTTGTTATTTTGTTAATTCTTTGTTTCGATTTATTCAATTTCGAATATCTCAACGACTATCTCATCTTTTGCGTCTATTCTTCATCATCGCAGCACTCATCATCTTCGAAGTTATACCAGATTAAATGCACTGGTATAGTAAAGCTGAGATAAGCCCCGAGACCAACCAGAGTCATTCCCAGCAGAAGAACAAGCATATTTCCTTTTCGACACGCGCCTCCCGTCTTGATACAATACGGTTCCGGGCGTAGACTGAACAGGTCGATGCACTTCGGATATGGGAAGACATACCGGCATACTTTGCGGTATTTCGGAGGCGGCGGTGCTTTTCTTAGCTTTTTGTAGCTTTTGCTGCGGCTTTTGTGCCTTTGGCACGTATGAACGTCTGGGAGCCATTTTGGATGGTTTTTAACAACCGTGGACAATTGCGCAGCATGTTGCTGATGCTCACAATTCAAAAATATGAGATAATACGTGTAATTTATGTCCTAAAGTAGGTGAGAAGTGCGAAGCTTCTTCTGTGGTGATGATGAACTAAAAATTTTGAGGCATTTGCCGAGCGGATAAACATTGTCAATGGCTGTCAGCGTTGATGGCTGTCGTTCTCATGGCTGGCGCTATTGCACAGCGACTCTGACGATTTTGCTCCATCTGTAGGTATATGCCAAACGTGATTTTGCCTTGTAATTCACGTGATAATGTCCGCAAAGGTTCAACTGTTTTCTTTCCACTGGATTGATCAATACAAATCATTTGACAGCGCGTGCATTTTCCTTGGACAAGAAATTTTAGATTTTCGATGTAAACTTCTTTGAAATTATTCTCGATGAATGGCGTACCAAAGTCAATTAGTAGATTAGGACGAAATCTTGCGATTGAATTGATCAACAATTCTTTTTTCTCGGTGTTTTCCTCATCGGGGACGTCAGGAACTCGTTTGTATAACCATTCAACACTTGCTTTGTTTATTAACAGAAACTGTGCTTGGTTTACTAAAGATAATTTGATTTCTTGGTGTTTAGCATTTCTATCGAATTGTTTTATGAGGCGTAAACCTTCACGATTCAACATGGCGTCCAGCCAATAGGCAACTTCATCACCACAATCAAAACCTTGGATTTTATCACCGCAGACTTTACTGTGGCATCGATAATTGTCGAAATTTAAGTCTAAATCAACAGAAATTGTTTCCTTTTCAGTGTTTTTATGATTTTTACTTTTACTGTTAAAACTAAGAATTAATTGTTTTGTTTGCAGATTTATCTCGGACTGGATCATACACATGCGTGTTTCGTGCTTTTGTGTTAAACACATGCCATCTTGGTTGACTATCATCCATTCTCGATCGTATTGTAAACCAGTCGAGACTAAATTCCATTCATGGGTGACTTCCAGAGCTGCGCAGGATTTTATCGGATAGATGTAAATCTTTTCTAATTTACCAAAGTTGGCTTTAGATAAATCCACATCTATAGTATTATTTAAATTATTTTCATGTGAAAATGTTTGTAGGAATGAAGATTTTATCATGTGCAAAATGGCGTCGGCGTCTTTTTTGTTAGACATATAACCAAATGAGATGCGGACTGATCCAGTTGGTTTACCATCGATCAAATCACGTTGATCACCACACACATGGCCCATCTATCAACAAAAGTAATTATTATTAAGTAATTAATTAATGAATGAATGAATTCTTGGTAATACCTCATAATAATACAAAACTTCCTCCGTAGATATTCCTAGATGTCGCTGGCATGCCCCAGGGTTACAAAAACATCCAGTACGTAGGCTAATATTATACAAATTGGCTATGTGCATCACTTCAGCAAAGCCAATATAAGAACCATCGGCTCTGAGGATGTTAAAGTTCACAATTCCACCTTGTTGATCCATTTGTTTGAATTCTCCATCGTGATACAACACACAAACCGGTTGATTGTTGTAATGTTTATAATTCTTCAAATTATTATACACATATTGTGCTAGGTTGAAGACATGTGCTTGAATTGTGGATATTTGTAGATTGTGGCGTTTCAAAGCAGCAAAACCATGTCTTAGAGAAGCGATTGATAAGAAAGATATGGTACCATCTTCAAATCTAAAAAATATTTATAAAATAATGTTTAAAATCATTTTTATGATGTAATTTGATGTTTATATACTTTTCTTGTAGATTGCTTCGATGTACAACAGTGTTTTTACTTGCCAAGGCCATAAATACGGTACCTCCACCATAATATTTCTTTTTTAGAAGATCTGCACTTGAATTTTTGACTAAAAGTGCTCCCAATCCAGTTGGGTATCCGAAAATTTTATAGAAAGACACACAGACAAAATCAGCTTGGGTTTTGTTAAGATCCAAAGGGTTTGTTGATGCATAACTGGCTGCATCTAGTAAACAGTACCATTTTTCTGTTTTTGTTGTTTTTGTATTATTGTTTGTATTAAGATATCCGCCATGAGTTTTCTTTATCCATTCAAGTGGATATTTAAATCCAGAAAAGTTGCATTGTGCAGGATACACAAACAAATTGTTTGATTCATATTCATAAATATCACCATTAACATTATCATCATCATTATCTCCATTTTGTATTTGTGTATTCCCATTTACTTGATGTTTCATTGACTTTTTATCAGTGAAAACATCAAACAATTGTTTTTTAGTCAATGAAGTTGATTGTTTAGCGTATTCACGCATGCCCAGTACTGATGTGTGGTTTTCTTCGAGGTATACAAGTCGGCCATCTTGATAGTCAAAAGTTTCGGCGACTAGTTTAAGCGCTGCTGTTGCTCCCGATGTGAAGATGACGCTGTATTCTTGTGGGGATGTTCCAAAGAAGTCTAAAATTCTGTTTTAAACAATAGTTAGGTTTAAAATTGTTTTTATTGTGTGATTATTTACTGGTAGCGAATGGAATCGATTATATCTTCGGTGGATTTGCTGACGGTGCTTTTGGAATGCGGATTGGCGAATAGATTCTTTGATAATTCGGAATGCACGTCGGAGATTTGGGTTTTTGAGTATAAAGTTGCTCCGGCATGATCTAAATATATATTATCTACAAAAGAAATAAATTAAAAGTTAAAAATAACTTGAATTGTTGATTTTCTAGTTCATTTATTAATAAAATACAAATATTTCGAGATTTTATTAGTTTTTATTGAAACTACATCACGTATTTTATTAATAAATTTAAAAATATGTTTTACTCCTTTTAAATCATCATTTTACCTTTTAAAATATCCTTAAACTCTTCCTCTAAAGATTTTTCAAGTTCTTTAGAATAAATTGGTGTATAATCAGTCGACATCACAGCTTTTTTATATATTAAATCACAAAATTTAGTTTTGAATGTTGCGAGCACGAATATTAAGTCAGAATACCTGTTTTAAGTCAACTTTTAAGTCAACTTTTAAGTAACTTATTATTTGTTTTTAGTTTATCATGCCAAAAATATTTTTTGCACGTATATATGCACAATGATAACAGCAGCGATAACAAACGAACGTGTTTCAGAATATTGAATATTGTATAATTTATAATTAAGTCACTTTGTAAGTCGGTTTTTTTAAGTAAATTACGTGTGCGCTACCGTGTGGTTACTTTACTGCAGGTATACTTGTAATACGAGTGTGTGTTGTTGTTTACAACGCGAAGGCTCGTCGAATACTGATGCGAGTTAATGGAACAATCGACAATCGCGTGTTATTTCTCCACAATTCATTTTAATTCTATATCAAAGCAGTCATCAGTCGTCAGTCATGTGAAAACGCATTAAGTAACACACGCTGCGCTTCACGCTTATCTCTTTTGAGTTTGTTTTTTACGGTTACAAGGTTATAGGAAACCTAGATTCGATCATTTTATAAATATGTAATCATAAGTATAGGAAATGTTGCGTTTAAGTTAATTGAATCTTTGGTTTTGATGGATGATTACATAATGATTTTTGGTTTTGTTGCGATATGAATCATATGATGAGTTGCGAAATAGAAATATGAGTAGTAGTGCGAAATGTTGGTTTATTGTAGGCAACCATGTATGCGGGAAGAGTGGAAAGAGTTGCCATGGATAAATATGTGTTTTGTTTATTAAATGTGAAGAGAAAATAAAAAAAATTAATCAATTGACGCGTTTTGAGGCAAAAGTAAGAGGAATGGACATCCCTGAGCACGTTTTAAATTGATGTAATGTCCTGAAGAGAGAGTGGAGGGAAGAACCAGGACTTCTGAACAACTCAAGAACGACTGACTACGTGACACACTGCACGCTGCCCTTTTATACCTGCGGGCTACCTGCAAAAAGTGGTGGGGGAAAGCGTACTCCCTACGTTACCAGAGGTACCCTCTTAACCACTTAGCAATGTCAACCTTGACACAAGGAGTGCCTAATTAGTTATCAAAATAAAAAGAACATAAAAAACATTAAATAATTCTGATTATTTCCGCTAATATGTAAAAATAAATATCAATCAATTAACATTTACACAACAGAAAAAGAAATGCAGAAAATAAATTCCGTTGCTATACAATGTATAGAACTTACAAGTGATAGGAACTACGATTATTTATACACATGCAATCAAGGACGCTGCTATACTCGTATCTACTGACAAAACTAACACCAACAACCAAACAAGTCGCGTGTGCGGGCCGAGCGCGAATTACGCGAGTATCACACAAACGATAACGATGCAAACATTGTGAAGGCGATAAGAAAACATACCACGTTCGTTTTCATTCTATACATGTACACCGAAGTAAATCCAACCAAATATCTTTAAATTATTTAACAAACATCCTGTGTAGCTTATCCAACCGAACCAAATAGATTTTTCTATCTATTTCAAATATAAAACTATATTTTATCCTTGTCACACAAAAGGAGAAAAAATAAATAAACTAGACACGCAACATATACCCCATGTTACTTTTAAAAACATCATGAAGTAATAATGAAGTAATTATTAACTAATAATTATTTAATGTGCAAATTACTATGTTATTTCAACAAATTTTATTTCACGATGTTTTGTTTTTATGCCACTTAAAATACTATAAATACAACACTTCAGTTTCGATTGTTATCTGACAACACTCTGTATATTCAGCGGTGCGTGTTGTTAAGCCATGTTACTGAGTTGGTTGAGCTCGCGGAGTTGGACAAAGTTGACTTATCTCTGGGGAACCAGTTTTGAACAGGCACCGCCGCACCGCACACACGTTGATAGTTTTTACGTGCGTTTTCTTTACAAGAGATATTTATTACTTTAATAAATATCCAAACAAACAAATTACAATTACTATTTCCGGGTCTAATTGAAGACGTATTTAGTGTACAAGTGTTAATAAGTACCATTACAATGAACAGCTTAAGAGGTATTCTTAAATTGAACAATGTGGTAAGTTAAATATTCATTTTAGTATTGTTGAAGTTGAACAGGAAATGGGAAGTAAAACAAGTTTTGAGATTAAATTAATGCAAATTAAAATGATTTAAGTGAGTTTTTGTATTAAAACAAAAATAATGCTTATTTCTTGGAGTAAATTCGTGATTTATTTATAGATTTACGAAAAAACAGTGAAAAATAAATTGTGCACTTGAAAAATGGTTTTCTTTGTGATTAGAAATGTTTTTTCGTGGTTTTGCAGAACACGGCTGCCAAAAATACTTTGATCCGTAGCCTATCGTGTTCACCGAAGTTACAATGCGACGCGGCGACGGCGCCACGTTATCCCCTCACCATGTTATCGGAAGACGAAGTCATGATGAAGGAAACAGGTAAAAAAATAAAATAAATTTATGAGAATAGATCAAAAATGAGGAATGAAATGCCAAAAATTAAATATTTTAGTTGCAAGATTGGCAAAAGAGCAAATTCTGCCATTGGTGAGAGAAATGGAGGCAGAACACAGGATCAAGGACTCTGTCGTTGATATGCTCTTCGAAAATGGCGTAAGTTTCACTCATAAACTAATTTAGTACCCTCAGAAATAAGAATATAATATTAATCCTTATTAATTACTAATAAAAAGTGCAAAGGTGAGTTTTTTTGTATGTTTGTTTCGATTTCATGCATAAACTACTCAACTCAATCATTATGAAATTTTGAACACATATTTTCAAGGATATTGCAAAGAACATAGGATACTTTTTACTACGAAAATTACAATATTTATTTCGAAAATTGCAGATCAAAAATATCTATTGTTATATAATGCACATTGAGATGGCGTCGAAGTGCATTATTATAATTTATATTAAAATTTAAATAGCTTCAAGAAACAAGCAACAAATTAATTAAATACATTTTAGTATTAAAATTTACGCGAGCAACAACTAGTTAATTATAAATTAATTAATTAATAACTTTTAAAAGTATTAATAAACTTCGGTTACATAATAGTGACATTGGTTCATTCCCGTTATGCAAATGAAATCTTATTTACTGAATACGTCGTGCGATTATTTAATACATCATACTCCTATCCAACTTGTGTTATGAAACAACGTCAACAATGTGGTCCGCAAAACGAGATCATCCGACCAATGATAAAACGCAATGATAACCAAGTTAGTGTGTCATAAATTTTATCAAGACTACACTAACCCACACAATACACAAAATATTAAGATGGTTATTTTATGCAACGTAAACTTTGATAACAAAAAATTAACTCAACAAACAGCTGTTAATCTATCATAATCCAAATAAACTCGGAATTACAGTTTAATTACACCAATATATAGAATATCCAAAGCAATTAATCAATGACAATACATGAATTTGATTTATTATTTGATAAAACTTTAAATAAACATATTTACGAGTTAATTTTATTACCAAAGTTCATTTATCGCTGTAATAAAACTATTTACTAACCATTTTTTAATTTTTATAATTTTTATGATTTACAGTTGATGGGAGTTGAAATCCCAATTGAATATGGTGGCTCTGGATGTGGCTTCATGACCACAATCCAAGTAGTAGAGGAAATCTCGAAGGTAGATCCAGCCGTAGGTATCCTAGTAGATCTACAAAACACCCTCATTGGTAATGTTATCATCAAACTGGGTACTGAGGAACAGAAAAAGAAATATCTGACTATGTTGGCAAAGGATACAGTGAGTAGTTTTGCACTTACTGAGCCAAGCAGTGGTACAGATGCCTTTTCGTTGAAAACAACCGCCAAGAAAGACGGTGATCATTATGTTATCAACGGCAGTAAGATGTGGATCTCCAACTCGGATATCGCTGGAGTTTTCTTGGTCATGGCGAATGCCAAACCGGAAGCTGTATGTTAACATGCTCAAAATTGAGGTTATGTTTTGTTACTTTGTTAAATGTTTGTGTTTTGTTTATAGGGTTATAAAGGTATAACTTGTTTCATTGTTGAGCGTGACACGCCAGGATTCACCGTAAACAAACCAGAAAATAAATTGGGTATCTGTGCTAGTGGTACCTGCATGTTGACGTTTGAAAATGTACGCGTGCATGAAAGCGCCATTTTGGGTGAATTCGGCCATGGATATAAATATGCTGCTGGTTTTTGAATGAAGGTACGTATTGGTATTGCTGCGCAGATGATTGGTTGTGCTCAGGGAGCATTTGATGCCACACTTCCTTACACGATGGAAAGACAACAGTTTGGTCAGCCAATTTATAAATTCCAGGTGAGTATTTAGAAAAAACATTATAGTGAAGGTGTGTTACTGCTTTTTGATGTTTAAAATGAGCTGAAACATAAAAAAAAAGTTGAAAATATTAAGAAATTGAAAAGAAACATAAAAATTGCATTATCAGACCTATGTTCGGTGTGTATACCACAAGTCCAACATAGGATTACAAAATTGAATACAGCGTAAATAAATATTCTTACTTTTCTCAGGGTATGCAACACCAAATCGCCGAAGTCCACACAAAAATCGAAGCTGCACGCCTCCTCACATACAACGCAGCCCGCCTAGTAGAACAAGGCAAACCCTTCGCAAAGGAAGCAGCAATGGCAAAGTACTACGCCGCAGATGTCGCGCAATTCGCCACAATCAAATGCATCGACTGGATGGGCGGTGTAGGCTTCACCAAAGACTTCCCACAAGAGAAATTCTTCCGTGATGCTAAAATCGGCAGCATCTACGAAGGTACACACAATGTCCAACTCACCACTATCGCTAAATTCCTCGAAAAAGAATACGCACAGTAATAGACGCCATATTGGATAAAACCTAACATTTTAACATGTTATGGTTCCAACAAAACATACAATATGCAATTTTTATACTCCGCAATATTTTGTTACAACATTATTATATTCTATTGAATAGAATTCTAATTATAATTCATTTACAAACAGTTTAAACTAATTTTTACTTTTTATTCTACGTAATATCTTGTAATATATCGACAAATCCACATTATTATTATTTAGGATCATGTGGAAGTTTAAACCCAACAAGATTCGCTGTCTCCTGAATGCTGCGCTCTCCTTTCCCGCTGTATTCTTGATTGATTTCATTCTGGATGCGTGCGCTTTTCATGTAACACAAATAAGTAGAAGCCATGAAGTTGAGTTCTTCATGCGCCTTGCAAATTTGTTTCTCCGTGGTTGCATTGCGACGATATTGCTGCATAATATAGTTGTACATCAAGTTATCCTTCAATGGGACAGAACTGTTGCGTTTTAGTTCGGATGCGATGCCTCGCAACACGCCGATTTTGCTTGCTGTAGACGCCATCTTGTTAACAACTAGAATGTCAAAGTGTTTATTCAACACTTTATGCTTCAATATACTCTATATCACTTAGATATTTAGGTTCTTTTACATCAAACCAAAAATCTTCAGCGATTAAACTCAAATTAGGAAAAACATGCATAGCTGCATCATTGAATATCTCATAATATTTAAACGTGTTAAAAATGGCGATTTCTTGAACAAACGGACTGATTTTATACACAAATTGGGCGTTATCTATTAAATTTTGTTTTGTATTGTTTTCTATTAAACTTTGAAAACTGTTTGAGATGATAATACAGTTTTCAAGTGAATTTTTAGACCAATTTGCCCATAGAAGATTATTACTCAACTGTTTTGGACAATGTGGTAGATAAAACAATGTGTAATCATGTGCTATATACTTTGCTTCAATATTCTCTTTGATTATTTCAATTTCAAAGTGTTCCAATACCAAAAAATCATTTGAAGTAAGAATTGGATCACAAATTTTGACTTTAGCAATATTATAAACCTCTTTTAGTATTAAAATTAACGCTAATTGATATCTAGATATCATAGAATCTGATACATATCCTATACCAAAACAAATCAGTTCTTTTATTTGAATTTGTTTTGATTTTTCTGTTTGTGTTTCCAAATTTTTATGTTGTAGTAAACTGAGTGCTTCCCGGACCGAGGCCTGAACATTTGAGTAATAATCTGATGCGAGAATATCGTCCTTAGCTTCAAGCACACGCCTAAAATGAAATTATATAATAGAAATTTTGTTTAATCTTTTACCAAAGGAGAAAAATGTGCAAGATTTCAGGTTAGAGTAAAGAATTATAACGTAATAAATAGATAAAAACGCACCTTATTGCTTTGTTTTTATCAAAATCGTCGATGTTAAGTGATATATCAGCAAGTTGTTGAGTTATAGATGGTTGTTGAGGCTTTGATTTACGTTTGTAAGTAATTTTTTTGAATTCTTCGTCGGACATTGGAGATTTTACAGGTTTACAGCTGATCAAAACAAGATCAGAAGGTCGCATGTGGTGGTAATTTGTAAAATATGCTATAGAGGGCGCTAGAGGTATTAATTCGTGATTATTTAGCATATTGTTTATATTCTGCATTTCTTTAGGTACAGCTATAATTACTAAGTCTAGAATGTTTAAATTTTGAAGGTAGGTTAAGTGAATAACGTAAAAATTATCTACAAAAGAATTTTTAAAGAATCATGCTCAAAACATGTTGAAATAAATGAAAATGTTTGAACAATGAATAAATTAAAGTTGTATAATAAGTCGCGAGATGGCGCTGGGATGCACTTTCTCGCAATAAATATGCTTTGCTTGCATGTCCAAACTTGTTTCGTTCTGTTGATTACTGCAAAAAGAGTGAAGGAGATATTCCGGGTCCTTGTGAGCTCGCACGTACGCCATGTATCTTATCTAAACGTAACTATATGAATACACCACAGAGGGTGCTAGCATGCACTCCGCAGCATTAAATTCACCGCTAATTTCTTGCTGCTGGGTTCGAACGAATTTTTCTTATCAAAGACTTGTTTGTAAACATCAATGCGTTTCGTTGAAATAAAATATGTTGCTTTGCCGTGTAGTTTTCAATAAAATACCTCTATATTAAATAATAAATAAAACAAAACAAAATAAATCATATTTACTTAATTAATAATTTTTTAACGTTGAATTTAATGAAATATAAACCTTTATTATTTTCTAAGTTGAATACTAGTACAGTCATTTGGTACTAAAAAACGTGGTTGCTGGGAAAATAGTGCGGGATTGTTGAAAATTGGTATTCATATAGATTTCGAGGTGCTCTTTACGAATTTCAACTTTGCCACCTCGTATCTTGTTCGCTCGCGCCACCATCTTGGAAAAATGGTGTCAAAAAACAGTCTTTTGACCATATCTCGTTTCCGACTTATTTTACGATAAACATATCTATATAATAAATTAAACTAGAGAAAATTTCCTATAATTTATGTAAGTACCTTTTTCTTGTAAAATTAATAGTTTTGGCGTACGGGCGCCACAAAGTCTACTTCAACATTCGTTGTTCACGAGATATGTAGGAAACGATATAATAATGAGAAACTAATCATTGCGTTTAAAAAAGGAAGTGTTGTCACGACTTTTCAACCACAACTGCGATCCACGTGCCCAACATTCTCATTTAAAGATTATTGTTTTTTGTACGCTGCTGAAATAACAGCAGAATTTATAGCGAAATAAAAACAGACGCATTTGAGTGATCGAAATATTGTGTATAGCGTACATAAATTATCGATGTAAAACACTATTTCAGAACGTCCTAGAGCACGTAATGATGATTGGGGTAGAGCGATTGTTGAATGCCTCGAGCGTGTTCATGATTTGGTCGAAGCCAATGCACAGTATCACAATTCGTGCATGTTATCGGTGAAGATGTAGATCTTCTTATTCTTTTAACGGCGCTATCAATTTTGCAACAAATCTATTCAACCAAAAGCATCATCGATCAAACAGCGGCAGATCACATATTATTCTTACACGCTTTTAGTGGCTGTGATACAACATCTGCACTCTTTCATCAAGAAAAATTAAAATGTATTAATGTACTCTGCAAAAATCCAGATTTAAACGAAGTTATCCAGGTATTTAAAAACCCAAAGGCTGGTACAGAGATCATTGCTACAGCTGGCGAATTCTTCCTTCTTAAATTATACAGTTACAGTGATGTGAAAACTATGCAAAATATGTCTTCAAACATCTATAGATATGCCAGCTTCACAAAATCAGCATACAAAAATAAATTTAATATTGCATCGCTACCACCAACAGAAGCCGCAGCCCGACAACATTCGTTCAGAACTTATCACCAAGTTAGCAAGAATGGGCTAATTCCTGTCACCACACTTGAGCCCCCAGCTCCCGAAACATTGTTAAAACTAGTATCTTGCAAATGCAACAAGGGATGTCTGAAAGCCTGCGGCTGCAGAAAGGCTGGATTGAAGTGCTCCGTTATCTGTACAAATTGCAGTGGTACCTGTGATAATTCGCAAGTTCCATCACAAGATAGCGATGAAGAGGAAATGAATTTTCATCATTTTTTATTATTATTATTATTTTTTATTATTTGAATCAAGACAATTTAAAGCAAGGAAAAAGTGGTAGGCAACTTTTTATTGCAAAAATTTGACTGGAAAGGTGAAAATTGTGGTAAAAGCTAAGACATAGATTAACTCATATTATATTTTAAATCTATATGGCGTTAAACTAAATTTCACATTTTTTAAACTAAAATTCAATAATTTTATGCATAAATGCATCTCCATAATAAGTTGTTACGATTACCGTTTTGAGCACACGTACGATGAACTCGAGAACCAAGATAGCATTGAAAACGATAATCCCATCGCGGATAGTATGGCAGAAAATTTTACCTGTGATATTTCGATCGGTCCTGAAAACAATTAACGCACAACACCTGGTCCATCGCGAAGAGCGAATCGGAAGATAATCCATTACATTTTGGAATAGTGCGTGTGGATTAGGCCTACTGGGAATACCACGATAAAAAAACAAACGCGCCACGTACTCTACCTCATGGTGGTGTGGAAATGAGTTTTTGGCAAAAATTAATGTTGAAGTAGTCTTTGCGGCGCCCGTACGCTAAAACTATTAATTTTACAAGAAAAAGGTACTTACATAAATTATAAGAAATTTTCTCTAGTTTAATTTATTATATAGATATATTTATCGTAAAATGAGTTGGAAAGGAGATATGGTCAAAAAACTGTTTTTTGACACCATTTGTCTAAGATGGTGGCGCGACCGGCAAAGATACGAACAAACCAAAACCCACAACAAGTGAGTACTTCAAAACATCTAAAATAAAATAAAAACAAAAAAGTGTTTAAAATTAAATTTAAGTAAAAAAAACTTTGAAAAAGTGAAGAAAAGTGGAAAAATATTAAGAAATATTATTATATTAAGTGTAGAAGATTAATTAAATACGGTACTTAACTTAATTAAGTATATAGGACTAGGATAATATCAGCGCGCATTAAAAATGTCGAGTGGTGTAAAGTTAATTACTTTAAGCACTCCCTAGGTGCGTAATTTTATTATTACAGTGTTAAAATGTGAAGCAAACTCAAAACAAACTATTAAAACATTATATTAGTGACTTTGTGTGATTATTTCTTATAAATAAATCACAAAAATAACAAAAACAATCAAAAAAACATTTTTAAGCAAAAACCTTCGTGAAAATAGTGAAAAAGTGAAAAAAAGTGCAACAATTTATGGAATTCTAAGCAACTTTACATTTTCATCCAACAATACGCATTGTAAGTAATAAAAAATGAAAATTATAACATTTGCACACAATAGCATGCGTAAATATTTATTTATTTATTTATTTATGTAAATATTATTTCGACACGTGCGTGTAAAACGTGTTTAATCATTGAATTAATTTCATATGACATTTAATCATTTTTTAAACTGATTCTGTCAATTCCGTTTGAGTGACACAATTCGCTGGCTGCGTTTTTCAATTAATTAACGCAGGATAGTTGTTCGGCGCGTAATTAAGGCATTCGTGCGTTGAAAGTTCGCCATGTTAGGCGACAGCCAAAGAAGGAAATGCCTTCTTAACGATCGTTAATAATAAAATCGTCGGCGTGCCAGCGACACGCGCATAACACAATCATAACTTCGCCGAGTTTATTCGGATGTACTTGTACGCTGCAGTTCGCGTAATGTTCTTGTTTGTCGCGGCAGAGAGCAGAAAGCAGAAGGCACAGATGTTGATTTTGATGTTGATGTTGACTTGGTGATAATGAATCAAAGCAAATTATGAAGAGAGAAAAATAAAATCAATGAATTTAATTTGAATTTATCGTTGGATGACACATAGGCAACCAAATATACAAAATGCATAAATTAGTTATGTATAATCCAGTTATTATGTGAAATAATAATAAATTTATGGAGTTAAAGCAAATAGTTTTGTGTTATTGTAGTGCTCGTTTTGGTTCGTTAGCGTAATGGGCCCAGAATAAACATACAATGTGTTTAGTTTTAATAAAATTAAATTTTGGTTATGTTCGGTCTTATACCGCTTCTCAAACATTATCCATGACAATGTATGTGTTAATTTAAGATGATTGTGTTGACACTTTTGATTTAAAACTTAATTCACAGCTGAAATTAATTAATTTCAGTCTCGGAATTTATATACTCCTTGAACTTTGTTATTTATTTCCGAATCATAATTGTAGAATAATTATGCATGCTAATTAGTAATTAATCACGGCATTTAAGTGAAATATTTATGGAATCAAAATTATTTCATGGGTATTTTAATGTACAGTGTGTAAAAATAGAAATTGGTAGTTGAAATGTGAAAAAAATAGATTTTTTTTGGAGTGCAAATGGATTAATTAAAATTTGCTCTCGTTAATAAAGTACAACTCACTGCACATATCGAAATGAAAAAGGAAGAATGAAAGCGAATGGAAAAACGTGCAAGCGACGCGTGGAATTGCGATGCGTATTCGTCCATCCAGTTGTTTAGAAATCCGAGGATTTCCATCCATTTCAATTAACTCACTTATCAATTGTTCGGCACAAGCTAATGAGAGCAATACCTGAGTTTTACGTTGAACATTTCGTTAGTTTTCATGTTTTTAGAACAAAAATCAGCAAAAACTTAAATTAAAATTAAAATTTATTTTTTAAGGTTTGCAACCAGTATTACAAATTAATGAGAATAAAATAGGAAACTTTTAAGTCTAGAATTTCTTGTTAATACTTAGTTCATTTGTTTCACATTCCTAGAACAAAAGAAAACAAAAGGAAACAATTTTTTTTTCTATATGCAACCAGTTTTACACATTATTGCAAATCAAATTGCAGTATTTCAAGTCTATAATTGTTTGTTATTGCATTGTTCGTTTGCTAGACGTTTTAAAAACAAAGAAAAACCTAAACGAATCAAAATTCTATTCATTTACTGTATGCAACCAGTATTACACATTAATACAAATAAAATTGCTAACTTTCGAGTCTAGTATTGCTTGTTTGACTTAGCTTAGAGTTGTAAAGTTGAGTGCATCTAATGATAGCTTGATAACGATGATAATGCGACAGGAAGCGCGTTGTGTGTTGTGCTGCGATGGACAATAAAACAGAAACAAGTGCGCGAGCGAAGACGACGCGCAAGTGTGGCATGTAATTGGCTATAAATCAGTGCAACGGCAACAAAGCAACAAACTCGCAATGCAACGATGAGCTGGGATAAAGGACACCAGCGCACGACAAAGTATCATTGGGATTTATGCGTTTCTGACCAACTTGCAACAAACTAGCGCGGCGCGGGTAAATTGCGTTTCATGCGTCTGTTTGCAAACAAGGCAAACATTTCATTTATAGATGTGAGAAATACCGGTATTCATAAAATTATACCGGTTATTTTTTTAAATAGCAATATTTTTTAATCAATTAATTATTAAAAACAAAAATAAAATTAATTATTAAAAATACCGGTATTAATAACGATATACCGGTATTTTTTAAAAATATTAATATTTTTCAATATAAAACCGGTATTACCGGTATACCCATATTTTTTTAATTTCAATATTTTTCAATCAATAAATTCTAATTATTTTTCCTAATTAATTTTATAAAAACCGGTATTACCAATATTTTACTTAAAAAATACCGGTTAACCGAAATACCGGTATTGAACTTACTGTATAAAAATCAATTCCCACGCATTGCAACGTAAATAATACTAATTTGGTTTTTCCCAAGAAAAACCGGTTGTAATCTAAAAAAAACTTATCATCCTTTTAGAGTTAAATACATCATTACACCTTCGCACCTCTAAAACCACAAAAAAACAATCTAGACTGCAAAAAAGCGCATGTATATGGAGTGAAAAAACGCATTTGGTATTCCAATGTGATTATCAGTTAGCGTTTTGTTAGTGTTGTCGTCCGAATCGCACCAGAGACGCCGCGTAAAAGTTTTAATTAAAGTATAGCTACGATTGCGAACTTTTGCAATTTGTGTCTGCACTGTCTGCACTATTTGCCAGAGTGTTACTGTTACAGGTGAACGGCAAGGTAATTAAAAGGTGGATTTGCAAGGGTAATTGCCATTTTTTTCTTTCTTCATTCTGTGAATGTATTCATTAGTTTAACCGCGGTATAACATCAATATTCAAGTGTTTATGGTAATTTTAGGTTAAATTTGGGTTAAATTTCACTTAAAAAACAAAAATTAATTATTTTGAGGTTATATTAAGGACATAGTGTATATTAATGTGGTATTGTCATTTGTCAGGAGCAGATTGTGCTGTAGATGTTCATTTTCTACTTTATTTATCGTTAAATCGCCATTCGGAGTTAACGTACTCGTACGAGTATTTCCTAAGAAGGTTTGTATACTTTCTATGGTTTTGTGCGAGTATTGTCCGTAGTATTGCCAGAGGGTAATACTTGGCGAGTTCGAGTTGGCGCCCATTTTGGTTTGCCAGCTTGCGTTGTGTTGCCGCACCGTTTGGCTTTACTTTAACGGCGGTTTAAGCGTGTGCAGGGCGAGCAAAAGACCAACTGAAACGAAAGGACGCGGACGCAAACGAAAACGGGGACGAAATGGATGAATGCATGAACGCGTGCTGGATTTTAACCGCTTTAAGTTTCACTCACAGTTGTATAACTCTTGGAGGTTTAGATTAGATAGACTGCACGCAATACACGCAATGAATTTACAATAGGGTACTGTTTGGGTGGTGATTGAGTTGCCTACATATGACATTTCTCATATACTATACAAATAAACTTAAAAAAAATTAAATTATTTTTATGTATTTCTAATGAAATTTTATATAAATTCTTAGAAATCCATTAAAAACTAATTAAGCACTACAGATTTATAATTTTATAGTTTTTCTCGTAAAAATGGATTTATGGATCATTAAAATTTCCATTTTATACTTCGTTATCAATTAAAAAACTGATGCACATACATCGCATGCATCTACGAGTACAATGATTTATTGTTATTTATTTCCGCTATAAATTGAGAGTACAAACAACAACAACATCAATTAAAGGTAAATGAAGTGAGTTTTGTTGGTAAATTGTTGTTCGCAGAATGTATGCGATTTAATTAACATAGAAACTAATTTTGATGTAAATTTGGTTGCGTTCACCTGCTATAAATTCAAAACTAATAAAACTATTCGGAAAGCGTTCAAGGATAGTTTCCGAACAGCATTTAAACAAAGTCAAACTGTCAAGGGTGGTAGTAAATTTCACCTTGACGTTCATTAACAAAATAGGCAGGTACTAAACATTATCTAAAAGGTGTTATATAGGAAAATTGCACGCAATCGCCAATCAAATAATCATGAAATTATTATTTATTGATGGTAATACGATTACATTCAATCGACAATTGACGATTGTGTGACGATTGCATAACGATTACTTGTAAAATGCATCAAATCGTCAAATCCCTACTAATATTATAAATGCGAAAGTCCTGATGTTTGTTACACTTTCACGCAAAAACTACTTAACCGATCATCATGAAAATTTGTACACATATTCTTAGTGGTCCCCGAATGGTTATAGGCTACTTTTATTTAATAAAAAAAATTATTTTTTAAATAAAATAAAGAAATTGTTTAGCCAATAATACCTCTGCATCTGGTTATTTGACTACTTTAACGCCATCTAGCATTCCAGCAATGAAGCTCAAACCTAAGTACTATAGTACCATCACACTGTATTATCACACTGTATTACCGACAGCTACGTCAACATCAAATCCAATTGACTACACTATGGAGACTGTACACTATACTTCCATAGACTATACTTTCAGCCATTTTAAACTTCCCGCCATTCTACTTCATTGTTACTTCTTCTGTGACTACAGACGCGTACGGAAGCAACTTCATTATTTTAGATATTCGCGAGCGAAGCCGCGGGTTAAAGCTAGTTAGGAAATAAAAATACAATTTAAAGACTTTTTACACTTTACAGTTAAAATAAATCATCATAAATTATCCAAAATGAAAATTTTATGGCAATATATTTAATCGTAGTAATTTAATCCGCTCCAGTTTATATTTACACCCCGGTCACAGGGCTAGTTGGCTCGCAGCGAGAGGATTTATCGCGTTTACGTGCGGGCTTGAGGGCGACAACGCGGATAAACTATTTTAATGTTTGCCCTGACAGCGCGACAGCGAAAATAGCAAAAATAACAGACAGCGAATTAGTGCGCAACATGTTTAACTACAGCTGAATATATCCACATGTCAAACACACATCGCAATTGTAACAATATTCAACACTTTTTATTATTACTACAAATTGATTGTAAATGCGTTCCACATGAATATTTGTTATCGTTGCTTAAAGTGCTTGCAAATGGTAATAAATGTTTTGTACGGAATTACAGAATCCAGTGAATAAACCGAATTGTCTGCGAGATACAAGCGCATTTATTTTACTTACGCTGTCCGCCCAGCTTAGACTAACTCGCGGGCAATGTGTGTGTGTGGAAAAGATAGAAAAGAAAAAAGAAAGAAGAGAATAACATACAGTCGTGCGCAATTCAGCTGCCAACTTGAGAAATGAGCGATGCAAAACGCTGTCGGCTACTGGGCTACTCACGTCAGCAACCAACCGAACACGTATATTAAGACTACTTGATGTCTACATGTCTAGAAACATTTTATTTGCGTTTTTTTGATGTGATATTTATTGAAATAATTATTGCTTAGTTTAGTTTATAGTAGTTTATAGTTTAAACCTTTAATGTGGGCCTGGGCCTCATTTGAAGCGTGGGCTGTGGCGGTGGAAAGCGTGCCAGGGCTAGGTCGGTGTGCTTGAAAAGCTCACGCAGCTGTTTTATATTTTCACGAGGCTTTTCGGCTTCCAAGCGTTACAGTCTGCATTTTCTACAATTCCCAGCGAATTCCTAGACGTTCAGCTTTGGATAAAGCTGCAAAAGTGCAGTATTACACCTATAACATTGCAGATTGTCAAGATAAACTTTTGCATGCTCAGAAGTGTTGCATTTTCAAAAAATAAATTTTAAATTTTTTGATTAATGGTAAAAAATTAATTAAACCGAGTAAGATTCTCATTTGTTTTTGGATTTGCGTAGATTTCGGTCTAATTTTTTGCGTGCGCTGATAGAGTTGAAGTAGATGTACGTGATTTAATAAAAGCTCTACTTGTGGACACACGTACGCGACGTAAACAGCGCGCGCGCGACGTCGAATTTTATTTTTATTTTTATTTTTATTAAGAGCTCGCAACACAGCCGCCACATGAAATCATTTTCAATGGTAGAACGCGCTAGAGATTTTGAATTTTCACGGAACACAGGCGCCACTCAAAGCTTTCGCTTTGTTGTTTTACTCGACGCAGCGACAATGTAGGCCAATTAAATATCTATTTTCTACTTTAATAAAGGCTACATAACAAAGTCAAACACAATGTAGCCTCGTTTTAATATTACTTGTTAATGTATTAATTTCCTTGTTATAGTGTTATAACTGTTCTGTGTAACGACGAAAAATATTTTCATTTCTTGCAATTATGAGCTAGAATATTTTTTCATAGACATGACATTGATGGTAACATTTGAAATATTGTTGTGGTTATGCAACCCAACATGCCTACAAATTGCAATGCAAATTTCTATAACTTAAGCACGATTTTTCAGCTAATTTGTTGGGGTGCACGTTACGTTACAACAAAATTATTTAAACATAACACAAGTGAATACAACTGAGCGACGCGGAATTCATATTTAGACTTCAGGAAATATTTACCGGCATTTTTACAAAAGTAATTAAGTTTAAAACCAGCTTAAAAAAAGCATAAACAGATGTCGCCACACGTAAAATTTCAATATTTAGTTATTTTTCTTTTTGATGTAACTACATCTCCTATAAGCTGTATTTATCTTTATTCATGTTTAACTCAATCCAAAGTCATACCTCAAGGTGGAATGACCTGTGTCAATACTGACTACCACCGTCTGCAAGGTCTGGAACCTTCAAAATTGAAATGTAAATACGACAACATCCTGCCACAACCCAACCACCACAAAACTTCATCCTCGAACACCCACGCTGCAATCGCAAACACAGGAATACAGGAAACAGGAATTCAATCCTGTTTACTATGCGTAAATGTGTACATTGTACATTATTCATTTTGAATTTAAAGCTGGCAGCTCAGGTAGGCAACTTTAAACACACACACACACACACACACATGTCACTGTTCTAAGAAAAAGCAATATGTAACATATTTCAAAGCTGCCGATTCCAATTACACAAGCTACTTCAAACGCCTTTGTCGATACTTACATTCTACCTTCATGTCTCAATATTCACGTGTCACATGACAACGTGTGCGAAATCCTTTGGAAATTTATTCTGTAGAAGCTGTTTCTGTATAAAATAGGAAATGAACAACAATATGAATTACTTCATACGCTGTTATTAAGTTTCATTATTATACAGGGTGTTTAATAGTATATTAAGTATCAAGTGTGCTAAGTGGCACTTTAACCATGTTTAGCGATGTGATGTTTACGTTTTTTTATTTTTATTTAATTTTTACGCAGGCGCAAGTTCCACTCCATAACTAAAGTACTTTAGTCACGACCGTGGCTAAAGTGTACTTTTTATGTCTCGAAACCGTGGAAAAAGTGTAAAAATAGAAAAATATACTAACTATTCAAATAACTAAATTTTACCTTCTTTATAAAACTATATAAAACCGTCCGATAACAAAATATCAAGTAACTCTACAGGAAAAACGATAAAGGACTAAAGATAACCCGGTTTATATTCCTGAAAATAAGGATAATGTAATAGTTATGAGGCGATTTCACGCCAACGCCGATAGCGACACCTTTCCAGCTTAAAATAACTATACAATGTGTTTGAGTTGCGATATAAGTATCGAACACATTCCAAAACTACCGAACAACCGAAACAACCAAAACATTTTGATTTAATTCCTGAGCTTTTCGCGTGTCCGAAACTTTTGTGGACGAATTTAACCACCAACCAAATCCACCAGGATCAGGCGGACCAGGACCTGCGTCACGCTGGCTGTCAATTCTCCCACGACAAAGTTTCTATTTGATTTCATTCCATATCATATTAAATAAGTTTTTGTGTAATCAAAAGTGCTCAACACGTTAAATGTTTAATTTAATGTGATATTTTAGTATAATTTATCATTTTGAATGCAATAAACATGCTTCCGAATATGATTGTGAATATAAAAAAGGATATTACCCGTAATCTGCCATGGTGGATATATCTTTTTGCGCAATTTTACGCACGTTTGGAACCACGCGGATCCATTTACGAGCGCACGGCCATAACACATAAATAAAAATAAATATGAATAACATATAAATCCTTCGATGGTGGTTTCTAGACAGAAAAATAAATATTTTTGTAGATTGTGTGTGACATAAGTATATATGCAACCAGTTGTACACATTGGATAGTATTCTATTGAATAATATGTTTAAAAAGTTGCATATTTTTATATTTTTTGTTTTATTTTTGTTTCTTTTGATTATTTTGTTTTTTTGTTTAACTTTTACTTTGTATATAAAATAAAATAAATTTTATTTGTTTTTATGATCTTCCAAGTCGTTATTCGCGATGCGGTCACATAAAGTCAACATTTTACGATTGGGAAGCATAATAAAAAGGGCGCAAAATACGAAATAAAATAAATTTAAATTAAAATTATAGAAATGCGATTTTGCTTACGAAAAGCGGTGATAAAAGATTAAGAAAGTTGCGAGTGCATTAATTTTTTCGGCAATTTCATTCCAGGTTTCTTTGCTTTGCTTTGCTTTGCGAAAGGTACGTTTTTTCATGGTTTATTTTACTTTACATTGCTAATTCCGAATTGAGTTGACAACTCACTTTCGGGTCGCTTTTCGGCCGTGCAGCTGAAGAAACTTTTTAAAGGCGCGCGCGTTTTTTTGTGTTTGCTCTATCCCAGATAAGATTCGAGCAAAAAGTAAATTATTTTTTGTCTCCTAGCGAACATTTAAGTGTTCTGAAATGTTTAAAAGCAGCGAATAACTTTCCGAATTTTAATTCCACTTTAAGTTTATCTCGCGGTGGAGAGATTCACACTTGGGGAAATTAATTGCAGAAAAAAAGGAGGAGATTATCACTTGTAAGTAAGAGTAAAACTTTACATTAAAAAGTTTTTAAAATTTTTATGCTGAAATCATCTGCCAAATGTCAAAAGTGAAATAATTTATTATTCTCCACGTGAAATCAGCACATTTGACTTTAGTCACCCCGTGACTAAAGCCTATGACTAAAGTATTTTAGTCACGGTTTTGACTTCTTGTGTTTAAAGTACCATTTTTGTGCCTCAAAAACGTGTAAAAAGTGACATTTTAAAGGTGGAAATAAAAAAAATAATTTTATGTGAAAATCTAACACTGTTTCAACTGACAAATGTCAAAAGTAAAATAATTTATTACTCGCCGCGTGATATTATGATATCTAGGTTGTGTAGCTTTATAGAAAAACACTTAACAAAAAAATCCATTAGTTGACTTGCTTTCATACTCACTTACCAAATGAACCCTCTGATGAGTTTGCCAAAATCGCACAGTAGGATAATAAATCCGCTGAGGATAAATTGCCTGTTCATAAATACGAAAAGGAAAAATCCACAGAAGCAAAAATAATGCTTGTAATACTTTAATATTTTAATTAATGAATTTTTAAGTTTTTATAACGTTTGAAATTTTAAGAATTTATATTAAAAAAACAGGAAACCCGGAAGTGAAATATGAAAGTATTTTTTTTGAAAAGTATTTACCTGGTTGCTATTTTTGCAAAATCAAGGTTAAAATCACTAACATTTCACAGAAATTTATTTATTTAACTTGAAAGAGAATAAATACTTGCAGTTTTCCTCTTTTCCTCAACCTATAAAGGAAAATTCCATATAATTGGCTTGAAAATTGCGCTGTCTTGACAAAAGCACCAAGAATATGATTTTACAATATAATAAAATACGCGGAGTCAATGACTAAGCGCCGGAAACGAGATCGACAACGAGCAAAGCGGAAAAGGGTACACGTTTCACACAAACGCACAGCGGAAACTCACTGTTTATGACATCTCGAATTGGCAGAAATGGAAACAGAGAAAAAAAGATAAAAAAGCGCTTGAATGACAAAAACAGGGGATTCTTAAACCAATTTAGTTTTTCCACTCGTGCCTAAACGTGAGCAGTCTTAGTCTTAAGACTACTCGTATTTGTGAGTCAATCGGAAATTGGTTTGCACCACAATCGAAAAAAATATTTAAGGTTATATACTGTGAGTTATTCGTTGTTCGTAGACTATAGGCAACTATATATACGCACTTACAATGTTTCAAGTTCTAAAAATATAACTTCCATCAATATCAATCAATTTGTATCAGATGTGCTATTTATATAATAGAGGAAAAGTCTTTGACAGTTTAGAGTAAATCAGTCATCATTACTAAAGACGTAAGAGAAGAATCTATAAAGAATTATTATTAGAAAAATTTTTCTTCTTTAAAGAATGTTTTATTTCTGAAGAAATGCAATTTTGTTGTGCTGCAATACTTGGAAGTAAATGCCATTATTTTTCATACACATCCGGGAATTGTGCTGTGTTTCACATTAAGAAATATCGGGATTTATTTAAAATACCGGTATTTTTCAAAAAACCGGTATTGCCGGAAATTTTTCCAAAAAAAAAAATAAAATTTTTGTGTATTTTTTATATTTACATTTTTATTTTTAGAATATAAATTTCGGTATACCGGTAATACCGGTATTAATTCTCAATAGAAATCCCGGTATACCGGTAAAACCGGTATTTCCGGTATTTTTAACTGAATAAAATTTTGCTTCAAAACTTAATTTTTTAATCATTTTATTAATGTATTTAATATTATTTTCAAAAAAAAGTAAAAATCCGCTTTTTGAGCATTTGTAAAATGTATAAACAGGTCAAATATTTTTAAAACAATGCGAGAGCACTTCAAAGCTTAAATTTTTGTGCACCCGCCAGTAAAATACTTCCTATCGTCGTATGGAATACAAAAAATGATAATAACATCAAACAAAACTTGCTTTTTATGCTAGACAAGTTGTATGCAACCAAGTTTACGGCTGAATTTAATTTAATTCATCATCAAATGCAATTTTCTATAACAAAGGCGGCTGGTAATGTACTTAGTAAATTGAATTGCTTAATATTTTTCACTTTCTTGACACGGTGTTTAACGCGCCGCGCTGTGCGTGCACACAAAGCGGAAGCGGTAAAACGGAAACGCTGTGACGGCGTCAAACACGCAACCAATGTCTGCATACATATTCGCGGTGCGAAGGAGCGAACAAGAAGGATTTGTTTTCGACACTTTTGTGTTTTGCTGCAGGCATTGTTAATGGGAATACAGTTTGAATAACGATTTGCATTAGATAGAAATGCCATTTAAGTGCAATTAGTTAATAATTTTATTTTTTACATAAACAAACTACTTATAGGTGAATGGTACCTCTAATAAATCCAAAACAAATCGTTTCAAAGTCAAATAAGGATGTGGGGCGCTTGGTCCATTGAGGATAATTTCACGAAGTATTGTAGAAGTTATCTCTCTTAATGATGCGACCAGAATATAATATTGTGTGAGTTCATCGTCAATATTGGATAAATTAAATATTGCTTCGAGTTGTACAAACCAATACTTCATATCTTCGAAGTAAATTGGTGGAATCGGCATAAATAACTAAAAATGTTATAATCAAATTAAATTGAAATTTATTTATTCTACTTCTAAAATGTTACTTAATCTCGTGTGTAAAGTCTTCGTTTACCCACTTGATACGTAATATACTATATAATAATCTTACTTACAGTACGTCCGCTCATTTTTACCCGCCCCTTTGTGTTACCAAACGCTTCAACTGACTGAGTAAATGTGAAATGTGACACACGACTAAATTCCGCTTCTTATATATAGACGATTCAATACCAGTGATAAGATAAAAAGATTACAGGCGTTTCTCGGGACTTTGCTCAGGTGGATTTTAATCAAAACTTACCTAAATAATTATTTGCTTGTTTTATTGACTTATTATGCCATGTTAGTATATCAGCTTTAATAAATGGAGTTTTAGTGTTAATTTTATCCCTAATTTAACATTTTTTCAGTTATCTTTTTGCTACAAAATGTAGTCTATATCTTATTTTAATTAATAACCTATAATATTCTAAGTTTTCATCAAAATTGGGTAACTAGTTTCTTCTTGAAAGAGTAACAAACATACAATTACAGATTATGGTGCCGATTTAGTATGAAATTGAACAAAACCCAGACACGTTTATTTTTACTCATTGCACGCCTGGTTTATCAAGTGATTTCGTTCATCTCCCCCAACTAATAACACTTCATCACATTCCACAAACTTTTCGAACGTCTGACATTAATAAAAACCGATTTCTAAATGTTCTGACGCAGATATAATAAGTGGAGTAATTGAAATCGGAATCGAAATCGAAATGGACGAAAAATTCCGTGCGATTCGCATTTGGAGCAAATCGAAGTCTCTCACACGCAAAAAAAAAACTCCACCACAAAGGTATACTAGGTGCTGAGTAGCTCATAGGTAGCCATTGAATACTAAAAAAAGAGTCTAGAGTCTTTAGTCTCGCATCCACTAACATGAAATTCCGAACAATCCGAACACACGAAAAGTTCGGAACATTTCGGGCGGCGTGTGGAAGGTTGCGGATCGGTGAACAACAAAAACACCCCGATTGAGAATGCAGTGTTAAGCGTTAATGGACGTGTGAGTTGAACGCTGTTTGAATATTTAATGCATTGACGCGATAATGCTAAAATGACACGAATGCATTAATCATTTATGTTTTCCTCCTACAGTGCTAATACTATAATACCTATTAGTTTTATTTTTATTTACGTTACAAGCGCGTGCAGGGGTTTTATTTATAGGTTAAGTTACAACTAATGTATGCAATCCATTATACAGCTATTGTTTTTTAGTTGGGAGTATGAAATATTGGTAGTAATACCGGTTTTTATTTTTAAATAGTAAAAATTGAAAATAATTTATCATTAAATGATTAGAAAAACGGGTATTATCGGTATACCGGTATTTTTTTAATTAAAATCGGTATTACCGGTATATTAATATTTTTCTTTAAAAATTATAAATATTTGATCTTTTAATACCGGTATACCGAAATACCGATATTTTTATAGAGAAAAATTTGATAATACCGGTATACCGGTATTTTTATTGGGGAAATACCGGTATATACCGGTAATTACAATCTTTCTGTCTAAAAAATATCGATATTTAGTTTTTTTTTAAATACCGGTATACCTAAATACCGGTTAAAACCGAAAATTCCGAAATTTTACACTAAAATTTTTAAAAACATACAAATTCTAATAAAAAACAATATAAATATGTACTTACCATATAAAATTATTGAATATGAATAACGTCGAAGTGGATTGCCGATGATTTACTGCACAAGATGATAAAAACAATCATAAAAACGTCGAAAATAAAGAAACGCTCATAAATCCCCGAATAAATGTATTAGTAAATTGTGAAGCAATATCAAAAAAAGGCAAACAAATAAATATGTTTAAATAAAGTGCTGTGTGCTTGAAGCTTCCACGAATATAGGCATAAATTGCAACAAATATTTATTCTTGTTTGTCACATTGTCAAGCGCAGCAGAGGAGAAATCAAATTAAATGTGGAAGTCAATACGTTTTTACCAATTTGCTTTCGTTCTGTTTCAGATGTTCACGGCGATGTGCTCGTAGATTTTCGATCATCTTATGTGCAGAAGGCAGAAGAAAAAGTTAAAGGTCAGCTATTAGTCTATTGTACCACACACACACTGGGTTTTCTCCGCGTCGGTTTGCGTTCCATTGCTTTTTCTACTTGAATACGTTTTTACGCTTGTTTGGCTTTGAATTTTGTGTTTTTCTTTTGTTTTCTTTCGAATTCATATTAGGTATATAACCTTATACAGTTGTATAGTGTACGGACTGTTAGTATCGACTGCAGCGCCACACTACTATTTGACGAACTAAAATGACAGCGTGAATGCAAGTTATAGAAAGTTTTAGAATTTTGTAGAGTGTACAGACTGTTAGTATCAACAGCAGCGCCGCGCTGCATTTTGACGAACTAAATCGACAGCGTGAATGCAAGTGACAGAGCGAGCGTTCTAGAATCTTGCAGAGTGTAGCCTGTTAGTGTTTAGTGCAGCGCCACACTCCAGTTTGACGAACTAAAACGACAGCGTGAATACAAGTGAGTGAAAGTTCTAGAATATTTTTGAATCGCTGCGATTTCAAGGTTAGTTTTTTTTTTATACGTAATATATACACACAACATGACTTGTGCAAATATCACAAAAGTGCAAATAAAAATACAAAAAATTCTAACCTTAAAAGCAGGTGCTGGCAAAAGTTCCTAATCATGTTGCCGGCGGCGTGTAATTCTCTTCGGTTGCACATTGACGCGCATCGGTTTTCGTTGATTTACTCCCGAACTAAAGTTCTTTTTTTTTACGTTCAATTACATTACTCGCGAGCACTTGTGTCCGTTTGCGAGTGGCCAGTGTCTGACTACGACCATCAATCGTTCTTCTACGTAGGCTACCCCTTCAACATGTTGGCGCTCGTCGGTTTTTATTCCGTGGAATAAAATTCAAAGCAAACGTAAAACCGTTAACGCTGCGAACGTAACGAAAGTTAAGTATGCTTCAAACTCGTGCGAAACTATTTCAACAAGTAAGTACAAGTATGCGCTGAGTGTGAAAAAATATACACGAGAATTTTCCATGTACGAGTATGCAACTTGTTATACGAGTATAAAAAGTAGACTATAGTTTCGGAAAATATTATTTCATATCAAAGTGAATATATTCAACAAATCAAGTTGAGCTTCGCATTACACAAAGTAAATTCTTTGTTTGTTGAACACAGTTTTCGCTGAAAGCCGCATTAAACTGAATGAGTTGAGCACACCGAGCGAAATTAAAAATATGCAAATGTCGGACAACTAAAACCCAAATCCCGGCGCGATGAAAATCACAATAGTCGGATTTCTACATTTCAACACGTTGCACACAGGAACAAGTCGTGTTCTAACGAAAAATGATAAAAATTCAAAGCGTGCACAAAGCATTCCTCGCATTTAGATTCCGAACATTTTGGTGGCGGTGGCGGCAATGGGGCAATGAAAGCCATGTCGTCACACTCGCTGCATGATAAAAAAAGCGCCTTGGAAAGATAAAATGTGGGTGTAAATGAACGGCGGTTGTAACCGGGGGCGGCAATCACAAAAGACAAAAGACGCCGCGCGGTTTTTTTCTCTCTGTGTGCTTTAAAACGAGTTTCATGATTTACTGTCGAACACGAGAACGCGTCGTGCCGCCGCCTCCGGACCGCCACCAGACGATCCGAAGCGGAAATTGGGTTAGTGGTACGAGACGTCGGCGCATGTGTCGCTTTTATCATTCATTCTCGCTGAAACCGTGAATTTACAAATTGAATTCGCTTTACGAGACGCCTAAATGTATACAACCAATTTTACACCGTGTATGTTTGGTTGCTGCGATATGAACGGAAATAATTAAAATATTACGACGTAATTTGCGCTGGTGGAAAAAATATCACATCATTTTGCGTGGTTATTTTTGTTTTCGTCTGTTTCGCGCAATCCGCGGTGAGCAAATTATGTTTGCGCGGCGTGTACTTGAACTCGAAAATAAATTAGACAGATGTCGGCCAGAAAAACGCCAAACACTTTATTTTACACGCAAATATACAGTCAGTCGTGATATTTAACCCAAAAAACTTAAAAATAAATAATTATTATATAGGCAACTTGTTTTACATTTGTATGTGTGGTTGCCTATATTAAATCAATAAATGATTTGTTTTTTAGTATTTTGCGTTAAAATTGATGGAATTTTAGCGTTTTTTTGGTTGTTATTTATTATTTACGTGTTTACATAAGTTGTGCGCGAATCAAACGAGCCTAGTTGCTCGACGACGAGGAAAAATCGTTGCTTTTGGCGTAATATCAGCAGATAATGTACGTGCGAGTGCCAAAGCGCTGCGGGTATTAATAGAAATTAATAATTTTCGCCGACTGGGACGCGAAAATAAACACGCACGCGACTCTCAGTCGGTAATTACTTCGTAATTTCATCATTCACGCGACGATTCCACTCTGGAATGCTCACAACACTTCAATAACTAGTGTTTGTCAACTTGAAAACATACCAACCAATTAATACTTACATTTTGACTCATAACTCACTCAATAATAATCTAAGCATAAAAAATTATATACCAATTTGTAGGGAATATAATTATCTTTAATTTGATACTAAATTTGATAAAATTGGTTGAGTTTTGGAAAAGTTATCAACAAAAAATGAGGACAAAATATTTCAGCTAGTTTCAAGTTGTTTTGGTTGCCTATATTAAATTCAAAACATAATAAATTATATACCAATTTGTAGGGAATATAATTATCTTTAATTTGATACTAAATTTGATAAAATTGGTTAAGTTTCACAAAAGTTATCAACAAAAAATAACCAAATTTTCAGTGAATAATACAAATTGTTTTGGTTGCCTATATTCTATTCAAAACATAATAAATTATATATCAATTTATAGGGAATTAAATTATCTTTAATTTGATATTAAATTTGATAAAATTGATAAAGTTTTACAAAAGTTATAAACAAAATAAAAAACATAAAAATTTGAGAGTCATTTTGGTTGCCTATATTAAATCAATACCATGCTAGTCAATTATCCAAAAAGAAAACTTTGTAAATTTGCACTTGAATTAAATCTACCGGAAGATGATGAAAGACTCTTCAGAATTCATGCGGATGATAAAATTCCCTCGAAATCTTCGCCGCTTTTACAGTTATTTAATCTATTCTCGCCGCTGGGCGTTTATTAGTTAGTCCTGCTCAATTGAAGTTGGCAAAGTTGGCGAGAAGCAATCTCGTGGATACAAACTTTTTAAGTTTTCTTCCGGATAATTGTACTTCCGCATCCAGGCGATTCAAAACACCCTCAAATCGATTTTCCACTGAACACCGAAGTAATTATTATGAATTTATGAGCGGTCGTTAAATTTGCCGTTTATGAGGTGGAAAAATAGGTTATTTACTCTTATGGTGTTAATTGTGTTGCCTATTCATGTATGAAAGTTGGTTAGTTATGAAAGTATGTAGGCAACACGTGAAACACGTAGAAATCTACGAAAAGAAGATGTGAAGAGACAAGGTCGCGAGGTAAACTAATAAACACACCCGTTGAAGGAGGAAATTGCCCTCATTGCTCTCGAGGGCTCTCTCCGCCGACGTGCGCTCCATCTATGTGTTTATTCAACGACTCTATTACCAGTACGCGTCACTGAATGTTGATTTTACATTTTTCTCCATCGTCGCGCGCTCGGCCAACCAGCGTCACACTCACTCATAATCAATTTCTACATTATTATGCAACCCAATATACACTACGCCGCGCTACGTGTGTAACTTTAACTTGTTACTTGTTATTGACGTTTTGATTGGAAGTTGTTATCGTTATCGGCGTGTTTTGTTTCGTTCCGGACGCAAACACATCTGATTGATGCTTTTTTGATTGATTTCATAATCGCTTAACAGCTTAAGCTTTCCTTCGGCTCGATTGCGCGCTCGGTATTATATTCGACGGCGCGCGATTCAGGTCAATGCTAAATTAATTCGAAATTAATTCGCGCCCCTGATGCGTTGATTGACGCATTCACACGCCGAGCACTACTTCTATCAATTAATCGCTGTAAACCCAATTAGCAAAGCATGTAGGCAACCAGTCTCACAATATATTGTATATTTGGTTGCCTAACTTTACAACATAAAAAAAACAAATTGAATTTTAAGAAAAAGAAATCGAAAAATACTAAACATTCCATGCATTTCTAACGCACAATAAAAATATACAGAGTGTTTGAATTTTTTGATTTTTGGGTAAAATTTTATTTTAAAATGGTTTTGAACACTCTGTAGATGAATGTATGTTGCATGTAATGAAAGGACGTCAAGGAGAGGAATGGCAAATGAGATGTAAATGAGTATTCTATGTCTTGTGTTCCTGCTGTGTCCTTTCCGCTGTGGACTTTCCGCCATTGTGTGTAGACTTTTGCGAATTGCCACGATAGTACCGGCGCGAGGGGTGAGGAATTCGCTTGACGAAAACGAAACGAAAATGAAAATAGCGTACGTTATGCGACAGGCGATTATTTACACGTTTCGCGGAATATTTATGCGCTCGCATTGAAATTGTATGCAAATTGGGTTGCATACGACATAAACACACATGTTATCAAAGGAAATGCTTAGAAGTTTGTGTTATGAATGATTGAAATTATGAAAACAAGATGTTCAAAGGGTTGAGATGCGTGCGTTGGGGTTATGCAACCAAATTTGCAATTATGAAGTTATTTTGTCATTTTTTCGCGGGGGAATTCAATTTTCTGCAATTACACGCCACGGCACACGATTCTCACTGGGAGAATTTTATGCCTGAAGGGAAAAGTCAATTTGACGTTTTAATTCGAGCAATTTTCAGCGTTTTTTTCGGTTTTATTCTCGTTGCACCATTTTTACGTTTGTTTTATTTTATTTTTTGTGATTAAATAAAACGTGGAAGTAAAAAGTTATTATAGGCAACCAATTGTGACAAAGTGAATTAAAAGTAATTTAATTTAAGCGTTTAAATTTATATTACATTAATTTCTTGTTGAGAAACGCGTAAAATACAAAATAAACAATTAAATAAAAGAAAAGGCAAAAAAATATTAAACAATTTACTGAAGTAATTAGCTGTAATTACCTTTTAATTACTTTTCTTATTAAATCTGTAAATATTTCCGCCACCTGTTGGTGAAATTGTGAAACTTATAATATAGGCAACCAATTATACACAGATTTACACCAAAATAACCTTCTCATCCAAATGCTGTTGAATTTGCATACAATTACGAGCAAAATCTTGCACTCACTTGCATTCACTTTGTGTACGTGCGCACGTCGGCCATATTGAGTCCGCAAAGGGATTATCTGCAGGCGTTGTTTACGCGCGTCATGCCCGTCACGTCCGGAAGGAACTATGGCAGAAAATAGAATAGTAAACACACACAAACATGCAAAGTGCAAAGTGGTATGAATATAAAATAGGTTAGAATCGAATAGATACGGGCAGGCGTTTGAAAATCTAAACCATAAACAACAAGACGTCAAACCAATATTAGCATAATCTATTTTCACACACGCATAGATGGCAGCACTTGAATCAAAAAATATTTAAAAAAATATTTTAATAATTTTAACGTTTTAAAAGTGGAAATTTTATAGATGACGTATTACATCATGCAGTTTGAGTGTTACATGCAAAGTTGCAACGCTGACAACGTGCCAAAACGACGATTTTGCATTTGGGCATTAGTGCTACAACTACAGTTACAGTTTTCTGTAGTTTTATTCACTTTACACTTGGTTTACATGGGATTGCACTTGCAAAGTTCACACAATTGAGTTTAACGTATTATCAACTTCCCATACCCACTTTATAATATTATTAAACGAGTATAATACTATACTTTATTCACTTTTAATAAAAAAAATTAAAATTTGCGGATTTTTCTTGTTTTTTGCGATTTTTTTTCCCTCAAAAATAGAATAAAATCATCGTAAATCTAAA